ATTTGAAATTTGGATATGTTCTATAAATCAGGGATGGCTAAATTTGGACATATAAAACAAATGAATAGCATTTCCGCTTTTATTGGAATTATTCTATCTGCTATCTTATTTTTTATTCTATGGATAAATAAATGTTAGAAATGTTTTTTAATTTTTGAAACGGGCCAGCATTCCTATTTTCAAAAGTTCAATTCTTTTTTTCGGATGAAGATGGCTTTACGAATTTCGCGGTAAAAGCGAAGGTTTTTCTTACATTTATCACATGGTTTTCTATAAAAAGTAGTCTATCTGCTAATTTTTTGGTTAAAATATATTTCTTGTTATATAGATTGACTGGAAAAAATGACATATTTTAATTTTTTTTACATTTACATTACATATCCATTATATATATATATATATATATATATATATATATATATATATATATATATATATATATATATATATATATATATATATATATATATATATATATATATATATATACAGGGTTTTTCACTTAAAACTCCGCACGTCAATAAGTCCAAAACGAAAAGAAATATTTAATTTATGTAAAAAGTAGTCAAAGTGTGGGGTCAAGTAGATATTTCCTAAAGTTTAAAAAATTCGACGCCTGCAAAGAGCTGGGCGTCGCGACGCGTCGAAAAATTATTCGATTGCAGAGACTTTGGAAATACGCGCATACAAAAGTACATATTATTTAAAAACTTTTTTGTTATTTACTCAAACTTATTTACTTTACCCGTTTCTAAGTTATACCGATTTAAAGTAAACATTTCTTGATTAATAAAAAATGTGATTAACGCTTATTTTTACAAGTATGCCATGAATGTTAGTTACTATGGCAACCATTGTTATCGCAGTTGTTTTAAGTGCAATTACAAACAATACATTTCAACTATTTTAGTATGATTTTATTTATTATTTTTTATCGATTTAGTTCTGATAACATGATAAATACAGTAAAATAACTACAACTTAATAACCAAAATTATTATTGCAATTAACTACATAATAAGATATTTCAAAAATTTTGTTTAAAATTGTGTCCATCTGCTCGAACACAACTATCAAAAACTTTTAACAGATGAGCTTGGGTCACTTGTAGGAGAGTCCTTCTTGTGATAGCGGCACACGCTGCACTAATTTTGTTAATGAGATCAGCCATATCTTAGATAGGTTCTTCATAGATAACGTTTTTTAGGTAGCCCCAAAGAAAATAATCTGGTGGTGTATTGTCCGGGGACCTCGCCGGCCACCTTACCGGTCCATTAGTACCAAACCATCTATTGGGATATTCTCGGTTCAAATACCTCGTTACTATTTGGGCATTATGTGCAGGCGCTCCATCCTGTTGTAGCCACATATTCATTCTAGTGTCAAGAGGCACTTCTTCTAATAGTTCCGGAAGTGTAGTTTGAAGAAATCTTAAATAGCGATCTGCATTTAAAGTTCCTTCGTAAAAGTAAGGTCCAATAAGGAATCCATTTAATATGCCGCACCAAACATTGATACTAAAAATTCGTTGGTTACCTCTTTCTGTAATCCAACGAGGATGGTTTTCGGACCAAAAACGACAGTTGTGTCTATTAACGATTCCATTATTTTGAAATCGACTTTCGTCGCTCCATAAAATTTTCGAGAGAAAATTTGCATCTTGGCTATACAAATCGGACAATGTCGCTAAGAAATATATTCTTCTAGCATAATCGCCTGGTTCTAGTTTATGAACTAGTTTACTTTTGTACGGATGAAAAGAGTTTCTATGTAGCATTCTCCACGAAGAACTTATGGTAACACCGGTATTTTCTTTTATCTCTGATAGGGATATCTTGGGGTTATTATCAATCTGCCGAATTACAGCAGCAGTATTTTCATCATTTGTAGCCGTCCTGTTCCTATTTCTTTTAGGTTTTATGATGCTGCCATATTCTCTTAAGTTTTTACATAAACTTGAAAAGGTTTTTGCATCGGGGACTCTTCTATGCGGATAACGCCGTGCGTAAACTCTTTTTGCTTCTCTACAATTGCATCTGCATTCTCCAAACACCAGTAACATGTCTACTTTTTCCTCATTGCTAAATTGCACCATTTTCACATAATAATTCTTAGTTTTTTTTAAACCGAACAAATTTGGATATTTCTTGTGACAAAATGTGACAATTTTTTGATACAGCAATAACAACTTACGTTTGTAATTGCACTTAAAACAACTGCGATAACAATGGTTGCCATAGTAACTAACATTCATGGCATACTTGTAAAAATAAGCGTTAATCACATTTTTTATTAATCAAGAAATGTTTACTTTAAATCGGTATAACTTAGAAACGGGTAAAGTAAATAAGTTTGAGTAAATAACAAAAAAGTTTTTAAATAATATGTACTTTTGTATGCGCGTATTTCCAAAGTCTCTGCAATCGAATAATTTTGGAATGTTGACCCGTTTCAAAAATTAAAAAACATTTCTAACATTTATTTATCCATAGAATAAAAAATAAGATAGCAGATAGAATAATTCCAATAAAAGCGGAAATGCTATTCAATTGTTTTATATGTCCAAATTTAGCCATCCCTGATTTATAGAACATATCCAAATTTCAAATTTATTCATTTTTTACGTACAGTTGCCTAGTAATTTCATTGACACATTATATTGTTATAATTTCACAGATATATTATTGAAACAAGATTTTTTTGTTACTTCAAATTTAAATCTCCTTTGTTGTATTGGAAAATATGAAAAAAAAAGTTATTTAAAAATTTCTTTGCTATTCAAAAACCCACTACTGCGAAGTTTGGAAGTTGTCTCTAAGCGCATCGTTGTTCAATTATATTGTGACTACAGAAATGAATATTAGTATAGCGGTGATTTAACCTGATATTTCACAGGGTCATTTTGCTAAGCATTTTTAAGATTTTTAAGTTACAAACATGTGGTCTAAAATTTTATTTTTGGTTGTTCTGCATAATTTATTAAATAATTCCGATTTCGTAGGTAATGAAATTCGGTACTTGAGATTGTTTTTAAATTTGTCTTTTTCTGAATTTCAACTTTTATTGCGTCAGCGTATTATATTTTTGTTAAAACAAATAATTCCTCACTCATGATTACGTAGAAAATGTCCTATTTTTTCCGTGTTCCAAATATTTTGGTTTGAAGTGTTTATAAAACGTGAAAATAGAGTTATCGTTTGATTAGTAATTTCATAGACACCAGGAATAATATATCGGGTGATGTATTGCCGAACGGAATATAGGAAATCTCATCTACATTTTTATTTAGGTGCCCAAATATTGGCTTCCCTGTATATTTTATAGCAAAATTGTAATATAACTTTCTGAAGGGGCCGGTATTATTAACAACTCATGTGTCGAGTTTGTAGAAATAATAAGTCAATTTCAAATATGAAAAGCAAATGATGAATTTAATTTAAAGGACTGTTTAAGCAACAAGGAATCTTCAAGAAACGACTATAAATTTGACCATCAAGTCTTTTATTAAAAATAATATTTGAAAAAAAAACATTGCTAAAAGGAAGATTATTTAAAATAAACATTATTTTTAAGTAAATGTTCAAACAACCCTCCATTAAGAGTTAAACAATATCCTAAGCGGTCACAAAATTCAATTCTACTATTGTTTAGTTGATATTGTGAAATCCTGTGGCACTCTAAGCGTTTGTTAGCGTTTTGTCACTGGTTAACATTGTGAAATTTGACATTTTTATAGATAACACTATTCAAGTGACCCCACAAAAAGAAGTTGTTAGCCAGGTCAGGTGACCTAGATGGTCAAAGGGCCAATAATATTCCCGTTTAAAGTATTTCCCAAATTCTCCCTAACCACAAGGGAATTGTGGGTGGGACAACCATCCAACTGGTACCAGATCTCCTCATTTTCGCAAACAACTACTTGTAGTGCGGGTTCAATTTGATTTTGTAATAACTCCAAATGGGTTTCTGCCGTGAAGTTATTGAAGTTATAGTCTATAAAAAATGTTCCAATAATTTGAAGTCCACAAATTCCCACTATAACATTTATTTTTTAAAGATATTGGGTTCGAGTTTTTGCTCCAGTAAAGACAGTTTAGAACATTTTGTTGAGTGGAGTGTGAACATTCATCAATGAAACAAATATTTGAATTTGAATTTTCCATAATTTAAAAACAAAATGCACTTCTTTCTTTATCGCCTTCCCGGTGGTTTTGTGGTTTTTTAATGTGCGCAACAATGTGATTTGATGTTTATTTACAGCTTGTGCAAGAATCCTCGTACTAATCATTTTGTTTTCCTCCACATGCAGTAAAATGCTCAAATCTCTATTGGCCGTTTCTTCTGCATTTGCAGTTTTTTATTACGGTGCTTTTGGACTTGAATTGGGTAATAATACGTTTAATTGTTGAAATCGAAGAGATGGTTTTAGCATGAAAGTAAAATGAAAACATTGCACACCATGCTCTAATACTGTTTCATGCATAATCCCACTTAATTATAGTTTCTTCTTCTTCAATTGAATAACGCATATTAGCTTTAATGAAATCACGTTTAATAAAGTATAACAATTAGAAATATAAATATTGTTACTGTTATGAATTTTCGTGTTGTCATTGTCAAAATGTATTTTACTGGTGATTTAATTCATTCAATAACTGAAGATTGGCCTATAAACATTTCTGAGTTAATCATACCGACCCCTTGAAAAAGCTATATTACAACTTTACTATAAAATGTATACGCAAATATTTGGCCACCTAAAAATTTACATGGAATTTCCGTTCTTCAATGCATCACCCAGTATAATAATTCCTAGAGTGTTTGATTGTCGAAAATTCGGTATTAAAATTTAAATTTAAGTATTAACATTTATAAATTAACTGTCTTCAGTTTGTCATTCTGAAAAATAAAAAAAATATTAAACATTAATTTAATAATTAATTAATAATTAAGAAATTTCCACAGCTTTCTATGGTTAAAGATGCACAAAAAAAATAGACACTTTTAAATAGGTAAAATTTAATGTACATGTATAAAAATGTATATTATGGAACGAGGGCGATAAACGGCATTTGAGTCACGAGGTTATCTGTCACGAGCGGAGCGAACGCATAATAATTAAATAATAAACAAATAAAAGTTTATCAAACATGTTGCATACTATACTTTTGCTACGACTGTTCGATTTTTGGGTACATCTTTGCAAAACAACACGAATACATTCACTGACAAACATCAAAATTCAAGCCGTTCAGTAAAATCTCCGAAAGCATCCGATTGCTCCCAAACCCGTGCGGTAAAATTCCCGAGATGTCCGAAGGGGCTCGGATCCGTGGGACAAGAAACTGACGCGGTGAGATGGTACTTTTCGAAAAGCTGGATCGCCGTATATTACATAAGGAAGTAGAGAAGTAATAATTACCATGGAAATTTTCGTTTTCTTTAATAATTTAACGTCTGTCAGAACGCGATGTGTCGCTTAATAAATAATTGAAGAAAATCAATTTTATTAAGGTGTCATTAATATGTCTATTTATTTTAAACATAAACCCTAACAACTGTTGACATAATGCAGCAGAGGGTGTTTAATTAACCAATGCAAAAAACTTGGGGGTGATTCCTTGCTTAAAATAAAGGGTAGTATGCTATATAAGGGTTGGGTCAAAAAACAATTATTAAGAATGTATCGCGCTACAAATATGGCGGAAAAAGAAATTGATAGTTGCACTTTTTGAGAGAGATTGAACTACAGTACCCCTATCAGTCTTCATAACTATATATAAAGAAAAAAATACGCAATGACACAAAAAATATATATTTTTAATATGTTATTTAGAATCTATTATCTTCGAAAATTTTAAATTTTAAATTTTAATTTACTTCCTATCATTTTGGATTTCGTTTCAAATAGAATACCCATTTTTAAATATAGACCCCCATTTTATCTTTTCGCGCCAAATGTTAATAAAAGTATGTGGCAACAGCGCCTGGTTTGGTAAAGTCGGTGCAATATGTCAATTTTTGTTAACAATGATCTGATAAAGGAGTTCAACTGTTTGATTGAATAATGTTTATCAAATACGCTAAAACTTAGTTTGTTAGTTTTATTTTCCCCTCTTGGGTTGCTCAAGAAGTTATAGTCATTTATGTATTTTTTCATTCATGTTTTCGAAAGACCTCAGACTTTTTCATCTGGCACGCCCAACTCTCATCAGTTTGTCATGTTTTATTCTGTCAAAAGCTTTCTAGTAGTCGATAAAATTTTCTGTGATCTCTGCGTTATCTGTACCAGTTCTGCTAATTCCCGCCCCTGTAGTTTTGAAGTTCGCTGCGGAAGTTGCTCTAAATTAGAAAAAAAGTATATATTAGCAATAGTTCCGTTAAGATCTGCAACTCGAGATCATATTAACACATAATAAAATTAATTTGTGGTTTAAGCTTTGCGTTAGAGTTAATCTTTGGTAATAGTAGTGTTCATTTTCCTATCTTCTTCCATGACATAACCTAAAAAATTGCTTCACTTACCTGATTGGTGCGCAAAAAAAGTTCCCCGTTTCGTCCTCAGAATCCTCTCGTTCGAGTCGACAAAATTGTTGATCTTGTCGGCGAGCTGCAACGCCAACGACTGCAGCCTCGACGGCTCGCTGCGATGCATCACCACCATTTGCGTCGGATCGTCTAGGGATGCCTTAAAACATAGGCGTATTTTTAAGTATCAGTATATAATTATTAATATGCTCTCTTTTCTCCATCAACTCAATAATAGAATAACAAAAACTAACTATATACTTGCTTATTTCTACGCAATTAAAATACAGAAAGCCGCAAGCAAAACAGCCGACAACAATTGACGAGGGTCAAATAAAAAATACCGCTTTCAGAAGGCGTTAAATATTTAATCTCGCTCCTCGCTCTATATGGTTTTTCATATTTTAATTGTGTAGGAAAAATAAGCAAGACTTTGCCTCGGAAAGCCACTGGCATAAAAAATTGTAATTTAGTAATTTAATAAGTCTGCCTTTTATCACTACATATAAAACTACCTCCATCCAGGTAATCTGTAGAATGTCATTAATAAGAAACCAACCTAGGGATATTTGAGTTAAGAGCAGGGAAACTTCTAATGAGTCTAAGGTCACTTAATGTGAGTACACAACAATGTTTATTTGGTCGATAGTACGTGGTGATTTGATTCAGAAACTTTTTTCCTAATATTTTTTGAAGGAGTCGCATTAAAAAGCGGAAAGGCGACTAAAACCATAATATCGGTTTTAGATTAATTAGGGAAATAAGTCAGAGTTTCTTATATCAGTAAGAATTTCTGAAAAAGTAACTCAGAATTTCTTATGTAAGTCTTTCGTAAGGTAAGCTGCGAATCGAAACAGTAAATAGTACGTCCAAATAAGTTTTAAAATTTTAATTGTAATGTGAAAAGAAAACTAACACTGTCAATATTTTTAAACATTGAATATCCTGGACCTCCGAAACTGACATTTGTTGAACTCAATCCAAATATTTTGGTGTCTAGTATCTCGCACGTTGTTTACGATTTACCCTGTATATCCGATGTTTCCATTCACAATGTTCCTGACGACAGAGTTGTGTCAGAAATTCCGCCTTCTATTCAAGAAATTCTGACTTACTTTGCAGAAAAACTGACTTTAGTGAGAAGTTGTTACTTGTTTTCAAGAAATTGTTTCATTTTTCGGAAATTATTACTTATTTTTTAGAAATTCTGAGATATTTCTCAGAAATCCTAACTTGAGTGAGAAATTCTTACTTGTTTTCAAGAAATTACGTTTTATTTTTCAGAAATTATTACTTATTTTTTAGAAATTCCGACATATCTTACAGAAACACTAAGTGGAGTGAGAAATTCTTACTTATTGTCAAGAAGTTATGAATGATTTTTTTAAAAATTATCATTTATTTTTTAGAAATTCTGACTTATTTTTCAGAAATATTAACTTAAATGAGAAATTCTTACTTGTCAAGAAGTTATGAATTATTTTTTAAAAATTGTTACCTATTTTTTAGAAATTCTGATTTATTTTTCAGAAATATTAACGTAAGAGAGAAATGCTTACTAGTTTTCAAGAAATTATTATTATTTTTCACAAATTATTACTTTTTTTACGAATTCTGACATATTTTTCAGAAATTTGTACTCATTTTTCGGAAAGTCTAATTTATATCAGAAATAGTAGTTGATTCCTCAAAAATAATAATTAAACTCAAAATATTTTCTCTATAAAACTAAGATTTAATTTTCTTTATTTTATTTATTCTTTATTGGCTTTGTAAGAGTTAATTTCAATTTAATAAAGTTGTTTTTATCGCCATATTGGTATAGAGTGTCCTCATTTTTGTGGAAACTAAAAAAATATTCTATATCATACCCATAAACCAAGTAAGTATCAAATCTACAGCTAAAATTTCAAATTACGTAAAAAGTGGGATGGAGCGGTCAAATAAAAAAAATAAACACACATGTAATGATGACTACTCACCATCAGTTCCTCGTTGATGATCATCTTTGAAATGATGGAATCGACGACGGGCTTCTCTAACTCGAACATGTCGGCGAGCGTCTGCATCGATATCGAATCGTACACATTGGAATAACGAAACAGGTACGTCCTCAGGGATTCTTCCTTGATCAGTTTCGTGAGCATCGCTCGCACCGCGTCTGCCTGGTAGAACAGCTCCCACACTTTCGCGTTCATTTTGTCGTTGATGATGAAGTTGTTGCACGCGAGCCAATTGCCGTTGCGCATCGCTTTCGCGGCAGCTACCACGTGCTCGTGCATGCTCTCCGGTGGCAGGACCAGACTCTGTTTCTCCGACGACCTGCGACAACGCACCTACGTGACACCACCAAATCGTGTTCGGGACGAAAATCGAAAAACTACGTAAATTCTTTCATGTTTTTTGAGCCTAGTTGATATTTTTCGTATGGTCTCTCCAATGTATTCTTTGCCGCATATACACTGAATGCTGCAAACTCCTCATATCTCAAACGGAATTCGATTTTGTCTTTGATGGATCGAAGATGTTGAGAGATTTTTGGACCAGTTGCAAGTCTGATTTGGACGTTATACTTCTTAAGAACTTTTGATATGTGGTCAGTGATGTTTCAATGTAAGGAAGGACAACAACAACAACAGTGGCTAGTGTTGGATTGCGGTCGCAATCATTTTTGTGGGAAGGTTGTGGTGAAGTGTATTTTGTGATGGAATGCTTAATATTAGAGAGAAGAGCAGATCTAAAGTGTAATTATGGGTTTAGTGACTCGGGTGTAAATCGGTGTGCATGCATAAGTTTTCTGTAAACAGATTGACCCAATGTTAGGTCTGATTTTCTATTAATAGAAATATCATTAGTTTTTAATTCATTGGTAAAACGTGAGTTAGGGTGGTTAAGATAATCTAGGAGGGATTCTTGACCATGAGGCCAACTAACAACAGCATCATCTATGTATAACTTTGGTCTTAGATGGAAGGTGTCGGAGCTTTGTAACGGGTGAATTATTTCATTTGGCTGAGTTTAGTATTTAGCTCATCCTAGGGAAATTCCATCATCGATGAATAAAGTGATAGAAGTTTCTGGCGCCCAATTTCATCCGGGTATTAATTTGAGTTCCGGACAGAGAAAACTTAAATGTGAAGGTGAAGACCTGATCTCGTCGTGTGCGAAAGAGTTAACACATGCATTTTGTCCCTCTAATTTTTTGTGTGCACCTCGTGTAAAGGATTACAGTAATTGAGTATTGTAGTGGTAAGTGATTTTGTAACTTAACTACCCTCCGTTAACACCAAGAAGCCACACATACCTGTGTGTAAGAACCCATCATTTTCACTTCCTATTGTTTAGTACACACATATAATTAGTACATAAAAATTCTATAGTTAATTTTTCAAAGAAACTTCCACAGATTACTGTAATACTCTTCACAAAACTTCTGAATTCCTCCTGCGTCGGTTTTTGGTGAGTCGAACTTGCTAACGTTTCGCCAATCATCCTGTTGGCAGTTTCAGTCAAGTTCTGAAGAAACCAACAGGATGATTGGTGAAACGTTAGCAAGTTCGACTCACCAAAAACCGACGCAAGAGGAATCCAGAAGTTTTGTAAAGAGTATTCTAGAGTTAATCTATTATTCTATAAGTACCAAAGTGCAAAGACCAAATTACGTTTGTTCATAACCTTCCTTCAATTCCTCCACCCCTCAAACAATATATAAGCAGGTATAGAGTAAATAAAATACGAGCCAGTTTCAATTAAACTCGGAAGAAGCCAATAGGATGTTGTAGTTTGTGGAATTTTCTTTGAAAAATTATTTAGTTGTGCTAAATTCCATTTTCAAAACTCTGCGGTTCTAAAACATTCAAACATTCTAAAAATTTTAAACCGTTTTTCATCTTAAAATTCAACTCTTTCCTTTTGACAGATAGATTAGAAAAATTCGTAAAAAACAATTGAAATGCTTCCGAACAAAAAAATGAAAATACCCTACGGACTCGAAAAACTCTGATCCACAATGTTATGCGGAGGGATTTTTTAACTAGAGCTCATATAAATACGTTACGAGTTCAACGTCGAGAATATCTAAAAAGTTTAGGTACTTATTGCAAGAACAAATGCGGCAATGCTGGTGACGCTTTAAAAGCGAATAAGTATATGGAAAAACGTATACATATCAATGGTATACGTTACATGTTCTTTGAGTTTCTTTGCAAAAATATTCAATTACCTTAACTGCTGATAGAACGTCTTGGAGATCATGCGCTTGCGCGCGTCGAACTCGTTCGCGGCCATGTACGGGATCTCAATCAGCATAGCGGACACCAGGTACACGCACTCCAACATTTCGAGGTTGATGTGCATGTGGAACGGAATCTTCTCCTGCTCCTTGCTGCCCTCGTGCTGGCGCTGCGGCAGCAGTGCTTGAGCGAGCAGTTCCTTCGGCTTGCCGGTCATCATCAGATCGACCAGACAGTTGTGTGCGTCCTTGATATTCGCGTGGCGGAACGCACACAGCCCGAGGTGCGCCATCGTGCGGTTGTAAAGGATTTGGGTGCTCGGATCCGAGTGCTGGATGGTCTCTTGCAGGTGGGACATTACTTCCAAGTCCCGTGCCTACGACAACTCACTCTTACCTTCCTCCTTAAAATCTTGCGCTTGGTGTTTTAAAATAAAGGAAATCGTCACAATCGGAGCAAAAACGATGGTTTTTGTACCATTCAGTTTGAAGCTTTAAATAAATACACAGCCGAAACTAAGAAACAGGCAAACTTCAAGAAACAGGTTATCCAACAAGACACCTATTGTAGTTTATATCTACTATTTCTTACAAAATATCTAAAACTAACTAAAAAAGCACGTATTTAGCAGCAAGAATTCCACTGATTTAGTAAATAAAAATTGAGAAATGTTTTTGAAAACGGCGTTTGTCACAATTGGAGCTTGAACGTGATATTCGAATGACCACTCGAACTTTTTACATCTTTTAATTTGAAGGTTTGTATAACAACTCTTTTTATATCTTTGAAGCTTTGAAGAAAAACACCTGTTATATTTTTTAATTTGAAGCTTTGAATAAAAAACTTTTTTTAAATGTGTTTTAATTTGAAGCTTTGAATAAATATTTTCAAAGAAACTTCCTTCTGCGTCGGTTGTTGATTAATCTGACTTGCTAACGTTGTGCCAATCATCTTGTTGGCTTCTTCAGAGCTTAACCGAAGCTTCAGGGGCGGAGCTCAATGAGAGGCACAAACATTGTCTCCGATGATTAATTCCCATATTGTTGAAAGGTAAAGACCTGAGTCGCTGTTAAGATTGTTTGGTTGCTTATAGATTACATGCCCCTTTCCTTTACCTCCGCCCCCCTCCTCCCAATAAATATATACAAGCAGGTACAGAGTACGCTGCAGCTGCAGTCAGTTTCACCAAGTTCGATTCATCAACAACCGACGCACGAGGAATCCACAAGTTTTGTAAATAGTATTACAGTAGCCTGTGGAAATTTGTTTGAAAAAATATTTATTAAAAGCTCATATTTGACATCACAGAATTAGTAAATAAAATTAAACATTTAAAACTACCAAATAACGGCGAACTAATTTCATCTGATCGAGTTTTTATACCTGCGTAATTATGATAGCTAATTAAAATTATGAACATGAGCAATTATGGAAATCTCGAGCACTCATGAGAAATTATGGTAATTATGGTATGGTAAATAATGGTAATCAAGCGAACGTCGGAGCATTCGGAAATCACTGATTCGCGCAATACGGTCAGAATTTTTACCAAACCCAAATCAAATCATTATACCAAGACTACTATAATAAACCGCTGATGTGTGTAACTTCTAGAATCAAGTTAATAAAAGTTTAAACACCTCAAGGAATTAACATAAATATAAGAACTTATATTCCTAATTGATTTAAGTCATGGGGACCTGGTTTTTACAAATGAGGAAAATGTTAGTCAGTTAGATTGGTTAAACGTACCTGGAACCAGTTGTCGTGCAGAGCGTGATGGTACATGTGGGATAAGATGGCCCTCGTCCTCAACCTGTTAGTGTTATCTTTCGCGTACTTGCAGCGTTTTTCCATCTCAGTGACGGAGGTGACGACCTCTTTGGAGAGCTCACCTGCCTTTGTTCCAACACCCTCGGGTCGAACTTGTAATACAAATGCTCGATTTTCCTCAAGTAAACGCGACACAGCTCCGACTGCACGTTCGTCCTCTACAAGTATGGAGAACATCACAAAGAATCGAATGTTCAAATGGGGAAAACCACATATGCTATAATGAGCATTTGTCCAAATCACCCCAGACACCGCTGACAAACACCCAGAGGCGGCCGAAACATTTATGCAAATAGAGAGGTTAAAATACCAGTGTAAACACGGCTCAGATAGCCAATTAATTTATAATATGCTGTTAAATTATTTTACTTTGGTTAATTATCTATACAGGTGGTGTTTGGTCCGCGTGGAAACGGACTTTGGCCGCAGCTGGCACAGCAAGAAGTCGCAAAAAATTACTCAGGACGGGATCAAAAGATTTTTGATTACTTAACTGACCCTACCTCGCTTTTGGTCTTCCTTTCGAAGGGGCCGACCCGTGCTGCGTCCTCTGTGTCTCGGGTGTCTGATGCGTTCAACGGCACTTTTAGAATCACACGATGAGAGCGACCGATTTAACATTTCACGGTGATTTTAAGTGGAGAATCCACATAAGGGCGCTGGCGGGTATATATGGCCAGTTAAGCTCAAGACTTTAATACCGAAAGGAAGAAGAATAACTTCTTGGTGATGTTCTCGCGGCCAATAAACAAGTTATAGGTTTATATAAATAAATTCATAAAAACCCGAAAAAATAATAAAATAAAAACTAAACATACCGCCCACCAAAATGCAGTAGGTATTTTCCCATAAAAAACAACAAACGGTTCCGAAAAAATGATACCCTTGTTTACCTACAATTTATAGGTTAAAAAATAATGAACATTCAGAATTTTGCTAACAATTATTACCAATAGAAGTGCTAACATCTTGTATGCTTTAACAGTGGTAACATTGAGACAAATTCTGCCTGATGACTCGTTTGGAAGCAATAATTCAAAAAAGGAAAGAATTTTTGTGGAAAAGTCGAGTAAACATACTTTTTAGATTCCTCTTTCTGAATATCTGGTGAGTCGAGAGTAGGAGTTGGATTGTTCGGCCATTGGTCAGACGAACGACGTAGCCACCACATAGAGTTGTTCAATAGCTTTTCCGGCAACATACCACGTGATGCAATATCACCTGTGTTGGGACAAATCTCCAAGAAGATGGAGGAAGAATATTCTGAATATGAGATATGCCATTTGCGAAATAGGTTTTCTATTGATATGGACGCGCTCTTATCAAACCAAGACCTACCTTGGAGTTAGAACATGCGAAAAGGGACTCAAAACCAAGATCAGAATAACTGGCTTTGATGAAAGAAATTAAATCAGCTACCAAAACTGAAGCTGAAGTTCGAGGCGAGGAAGGGAGATCTTTTTTAGTGGTGCAACTTTGGTCTTGGCTGTCACTAGCGTGGGAAATACACTGCCATTTGAATCGGCGACTCGAAAATACGCGCATGCGCTGAAACTAATTTCCGAAGCATCGCCGAAAACATGGAGTTGTAGAGACTGAAGATTTGGTGTCAAGATGTATCTGGGAATTTTTATCTGAGAAATCAAGGGTAATTAGCTTCGGTGTGTCAACCATCAATCGACAATATCTTGAGTTGGCGTATCATCCCAATCTACACCCTCTGTCCACATCAATTGCATTAGATGCTTTGCAAGAAATATGCAAGGTGATATCAATCTGATTGGATCAAACGTACGTGCAATGGTAAAGAGAATTGACCTTTTCGTACAAGAATCGTCGGTTTAATTGACCTAATATGAAAAGACATCATTCACTGGGTCCCATTGGAGACCAACAACTTTGGGAAAACAGTCAGTGCCAGCGTCTAGTGAAACAGAAGTTTGTCAAATATTTGATGGAATTGTATTAAGAAAGTTGAGATCATTACTTACTTGACTTCTTGCGCAGGTCAAAACCTGCGGAATTTAATAACTCAACAAGCTCTGCTTTAAGAGTCAATGCTTCCTCCAGGGTGTAAGCACCTGTGCAGATATCGTCGGCAAATATGTCGGATTGCAGAACTCTTGAAGTGTTAGGATATGCTTCTGAGCCTTCTCGTGCCAGTTGCAAAATGACTCGAAGTGCCAAAAAAGGAGATGATGCAATTCCAAATATAACACAGGTAAGACGATCTTCTTGGGTAGGCTGCTCAGGAGAAAATCTCCATTCTAGGCTCTGATAATCCCGATGCTTGGGGTCTAGTACAATCACATGATACATGGCTACATGGCTTTCACAAGAAAATGCTATTGGAAATTTTCTGAAGTTAAGGCAAATTGCCGGGATGTCTTTTTGGAGTTTAGGACCTGACAGAAGAAACTCATTGAGTGATCCTTGTAGAGTAGGTATTGGTATTAAAGGGGGGCGCCCTCGCGGGCGTCCAAGCACTTAGGCCACCAGATGGGCCCGTTATGCCCCCAAGCCACTCTAGAGGGCGTCCAGAATGCCGCCCCTCCTATAGAAGATCAGCAACTCCTTTAGCCCAATACCGTGCACTGAGTCCGGATCGATCAGGGTCATTCCAAAGACTGACATTCTTGCCCATGTCAAAACAGAGCACTCGGTGAGCAGATGATACGGGATCTCCTCCCCTTCCATGCACCACCTGCACTCCGGTTCGTCTCCAATGCCTAGCAAGCAAAGATGCCTCCTAAACCTGCAATGTCCTGTGTAGGCCCCTGTTAGTGCTCTACACTCCCTTCTGGTCAGTCTAAGCAGCTCCCTGGTCCGAGAGAGGGCGGGCCCATCCATCGCCTCCCTCGCCTGCCTCATTCCCGGAGCAACTCTCCAACCCACCGCGGCCCGGACCATGGTACGTAGATCCACTGCATGATCTTCGGCCTTAGGCCCCAAGTACCTCCTACCGCTCTCCGGCACGCCCACAGAGCTTCAAAGGCCGACCTGGTCCTTGATCTTATATGTTCCTGGAAGGTCAACTTGGAGTTCAACCATACCCCCAAGTACTTGGCACTTCCGCTTGCAGAAAGAGGCACCCCATCCATCGAAACGTTGAGGTTGCACTCCATCTTCCTTTTTCTGGTGAAGATGACCATCTCCACCTTGCCAGGATTGACAGCCAACTTGTTGTCCAGGCACCATTGTTAGAATTTTACCAATGCCCTGTTCAGGAGCCCCTGCATCGTCCTCACGTCCGTCCCCTGTGTCATTATCACAGGGTCGTCTGCATATGCCTGAGCATAGACCCCGTGTTCTTCCCTCAGAATATGCAATATCTCGTTCACCACTAGGCACCTCAGGAAAGGGTGTGGACAATCCCGTGATAACCGATGGAGACCTGCTCCTTACCCACTCTTGCCTCGACCCTCTGGTCGGTTAGCATGGAGCGGATCCACCTTACAATGGCCGTCCCCATTCCAGTACGCTCCACCGCCCTGCGTATCGAATACAGGGCCGTGTTATTGAAGGCCCCTTCGATGTCAGCGAACACGCACACCGACAGCCGTGTCGAGCCCATACCCTCCTCCAACCTGGAAGTCAGTTGGTGAAGAGCCGAGCCCATAGACCCGCCACTTCGGTACGCATGCTGAGCTGGCTCTAAAAGGGCCTCCAGCTCCACCCAGTCCCTCAGATACCGGTCCACCAGTCTCTCCAGAGTCTTCATAATGAAGCTAGTGAGGCAAACGGGCCGGTACGACTTGGGTCCGTGTAGTCACTCATCCCTACCTTAGGGATGAACACTACCCTGCTGTGTCTCCACAGCTCGGGCACGTATCCCCTCGCAATGGAGGCTCTGAACAGGTCCATCACCGAGATGGTCAGCAGACCTCCGTCCCTTTGCAGCAGAGCCGGAAATACTCCATCCCTGCCCGCTAAAGCTGTCAATAGCCCATCTCAGCCTTCTATGGGTAACCACCCTCCTTGGCGTAGCGTAGTCGCATCCAAGACGACTCCCGGCTTCAACATTCCCCCCTGTGTCCGGGTCAGCGTGGTCAGCAACTGTTGTAGTGTGTCCGCTGGACCCGCTGTGTAGCCACCGCCGGTCCTACGGACCACTCCCAGTCTTCCCGCAGGGTCACTTCTGAATACCTTAAGGAGCCTAGCCGCGTCCGGGGTATCAATTACTCCGTCGCAGTAGCCCCTCCAGGCCTTTCTATACTGTCTGCGGAGATCCCAGTCCGCACCTTGGCTGCTGCTCCTCGCTCTATTGAACAGCCTCCGCACTCTCGTCCTGAGACGCACCAAGGAGTCCTCCCCGCCCTATGCTCCTCTGTAACAGGGCAGCTCGTCTCGAAAGCCCGTATAGCGGGCCCAGTTATTTCCGGGAACAGAGCCCTGGTACAAAGTGTTAAGTCTATAATCGAACTCCGACCCGTCGTGAAAAACATGGGTTCTACCCCTCTGTTGGCTACCTGCAGCCCCGCCGAGGCCATGAACTCCACGAGCTCTCCCCCCCTTCTATTAGTCGCCGCGCTGCCCCACAAAACGTGAAACTTGAAGTAAAGAAGCTATGGCGTGGGTGTGAACGAGAGTTACCAGATGATTTGACATTTGCCATGATAATCCAGCCGTAAATGGTATTTAAGGCAATAGGGTCATGTGGAGATTGCATAATCATGCCATCCAACATGAGTAACGGAAATATGGAGGCACCTAGTAAAAGATACCACTAGAAGTCTTCAAACTTGAATCAGCTAACTTAATATGAGACAAATGATCCCAGTTATTGTGTTCTACTGAAACAATAGGCATGTTAACGCAAATGGACGGTAATGTGACTGAATAGACTGCCACAAAAGGTTGATTCAAACCAGGCACGCTTAGTTTAAAAGTAGTTTAGCCTCTCGATGTAGCAACTGACGTATTACCGATGCCTTGAATTTCAACACTTCCACCGTAGCTTTTTAAAACCAATCTTCGAAAACACTTCTCAGTGATACAGTTTACCTGACTCGCGCTATCGAGCAGCGTTCGGCAAGTGTGTAGGTTGCTGGTCTGTCAGCCACTTGTAGGAGGGCGGTAGCGAGTAAGGTTGATTCGGTTATATTCGCCGAAGAAGAGGCATATGATTTAGGTGAGTTTAGCTCTACGGATGCAGAAGATGCAACGGAGTGAGGAAGTTCGCTTGATGAGTCAGTGTGGTGTCTGTGGCGAATTGCCTTTGAAAGGAGAATCGGCTCCCCAGCGGAGCAAAGTATGGTGTGTCCGACTTTGACAAAATTGGAAAACTCTATTGCTCGAACATTTTTTAGCACTGCACCGCAAATTGAGGCATAATATTCACAAATGTTGCTTGACAATGGTGTAACGATCGCGAGGTGTTTTCGCCTTGAAAACTAAACATTTCATCAACGAATGTCTACTCTGACATCCTAATGTACATTGGGGGCTATCCTGCGTTAAGAAACTTTTAGGAATTAATTTCGATTTAAAACTGCGTTCGCTTTGATTTCTGACTGATTTTGTTCTGCCTTGCAATTTTTATCTAAAAAAGATTAAGCCAAATGCACATCAATTTTTGATAAAAACAAGTTGAGAAGAATAAAATTCCAATCCCAAAATTTTCAATGCCGCCAAGTTTTCTTGAAATGTGTCAACTAAACGTCGCAAAACTAAATAGTCGTCTGATGACATTTTAGGAGCGGTTTGTATGTTATTCCTGTTGCAGGGCGATAAGCACAAGAGGAATTCGTTACCTACTTGTATCAACGTTTGCCAATAAAATAAGTACGTACAAAATAACTGGCCGTTTATTATACAGAAGTTACAACACACATTTTTACATAACGCGCACACGACAGTCAAGTACAAAGAGCAAGTGAAACAAATACCTACGGTACTGAGAGGCAAAGATAAAGAGACGTAAACCCAATATATATTGCATATTACTTATACAAATAAATGTACCTAACACGCAAAGTATTGTATTCCAACAATTCCAAAATTCCGTGGCCATTAACCTTTTGTTCTGGTACCTATTACGCAATGCCTGATAAGCAACGGGGCTCTCAGTCATGCGCAAAGTTTTTAATAAATTGAGAGGTTCACCTTGGCAATGTTTGGCCAAAAAAACGAATTTTTGAATTGCCGGCATGTTCGCTTCATTATGAGTTAAACTATCATATAAGTAAATGAATATCGGCCAATCTCGGTAATCGCCTTTGAAAATTGCACATCAACCTCATATACCTTGGGGTTAGTGGGAGCATTAAAAACTGTTTGGTTTAATGGGACAACAGGACTTTGAGCCGCTGTAGGAAACAAATCCATATATATATATATATATATATATATATATATATATATATATATATATATATATATATATATATATATATATATATATATATATATATATATATATATATATATATATATATATATATATATATATATATATATATATATATATATATATATATATATATATATATATATATATATATATATATATATATATATATATATATATATATATATATATATATATATAGATTTTATCGCGAAATATTTGTCGTCAAATTCTCGACGAATTTCGTCTTCATCCTCCAAAGACTTGTCAGTCATCTGTTGTGACCCAATAATTGTATGATGATGAGCTTCAAAATTATTTCTAATTCCTTCGTAACGAGCTTTAAATTGATTTAATTTAGTAGAATCAGTGAGACAGGTCTGAGAACAATTATACATTTCATTCAAACGACTTATAAAAAAACCTCGAGTGGCTTTATTCTGAGATTTTGCCATTATAAAAACCTATCGAACGCTATGCAGATTCAGAGAGAAAAGCAATATTACTCAAATAATAATAAAAAAAATTGAAAACCAAACCGTTCCGAGTTTCAACTAAACCGAAAGAAATTCGGCAAAAAAGTAAATAAATACGTTGAAACTCTGGCCGTTCCGATATTGAACGTTAAAGCAAAAGAATATTTGAAACCGAGTTCCAGTCGATTTAAATCAAAAGCGAATCTGAATATATAAAAAAACAAACGTACTGATCTTTTTTTTGTTGATGCTAATGACCTTCATAAACAAAAAAGTAAACGAACAAACAGATTTTTCGCAAAGCATAGCACGTAATCGTGAATTTCAAAATGAGGATATTGATTGCACAGTAATAGTAAAAGTTAGTTCTTTTTAATCCGGCTCGAAGAACCAAAAATGTTTTGTCCGCGCGGAAACGGACTTTGGCCGCAGCTGACACAGCAAGAAGTCGCAAAAAATTACTCAAGACGGGATCAAAAGTTTTGTGATTTCTTAACTTAAATGACCCTGCCTCTCTTTTGGTCTTCCTTCCGGAGGGGCCGGCCCGTACTGCGTCTTCTGTGCCTCTGGTGGTGAGGAAATTTGTTGATCACCACGCGTATGACCTGATGCGTTCAATGGCACTTTTTGAACCACACGATGAGAACGACCGATTTAGCGCTTCACCGTGATTTTTAGTGGAGCATGCGCCTAAGGGCGCTGGCGGGTATAGGGTCAGTTAAACCAGGTAAGCTCAAGATTTTAATACCGCGAAGAAAGGAAGAAGAATAACTTCTTGGTGCTGTACTTGCGGCCAATAAATAAGTTATTGGTTTATAAAAACCCGAAAAAATAATAAAATGAAAACTAAACAGGTGGTTTACACTATACAGTGTACTTACAAACAAAATATAATTAACATTTTACAAAATAGAGGTTATTGGACGAGATATAAAGAACAACAATTTACGCTATTGTTTAAGCAAAAAAAAACTTACAACTTCTATTAAACATACTACAATGAAGGTGCAGGTAGCTATTTCATTGGAACCTTTGATTCTTGGGTATGCTAGGTAGGTGGTTAATTTTTTGCATAATCCAAAGTGTTTTAATTGACAACCATATCCTCAAAATAGTAACAGCTGAAGTATTCGACAAAAATATTGCTTTAATTTTAGCTATGAGAACAATTGGCCACACATGACGCATGATTTATTTAAAATAATTGAGAACGTTTAAACAAACACATTTATGATCGGTTTGGCTCTTTGATGAATTAAAATGCAACTGAACCTTTTAAGCTGAGTCACCGTAAATATTAAAAGATGTATTTTAAAAACATTGTAATGTAAACAGATCGTAATTATTCTCTATCGAGGAAAATTCTTTCTCCATGGAATCGGTTTGCCGACATCCCAGCCGCGCCGCGCAACTCCGAACGAGCCCTGTACGCCCCGATACGATTTGGACAAATACGGCCAATCTCACCCGCGCGGTAATGTCCGAGGGGGCTCGAATCCGTGGGACAACAAACTGACGCGGTAAGATGGCACTTTCCCAAAAGCTGGATCGCCGTATAATTAGCTATTTTACATAAGTAGATAAGTAATAATTACCATGGAAATTTTCGTTTTCTTTAATAATTTAACGTCTGTCAGAACGCGATGTGTCGCTTAAGAAATAATTGAAGAAAATCAATTTTATTAAGTTGTCATTAATATGTCTATAAACCCTAACAACTGTTGATATAATGCAGCAGAGGGTGTTTAATTAACCAATGCAAAAAACTTGGGGGTGATTCCTTGCTTAAAATAAAGGGTGTATGCTATATAAGCGTTGAGTCAAAAAACAACTATTAAGGATGTATCGCGCTACAAATAGTGCTTCCAATGGGACTTTAGTTGTTGTCTGTCCATTATTGGTTGACCTCGACTGTCAGTCATGCAGCTGGGTGTTTTAGGTTTATACATACCAGCAGACTTTTTTGTGCAGAATAAACGAGCCATACTTATTCTCTCGGACTTCAATCTCACTGCAGAGTTCCTCTAGCCATCTACTTTTAGCTTTTCTAATAGACTTTTTTATCTCTCTGTCGATTTGCTTATATTTCGTGGTATCCCTATGTTAAGCTTTCCTTCTATTTTCCATCATGTATAGGATGCTGTCGGTCATCCGTGTTTTTTTCATTACCGTTTTTGGTTGCAGAAATCCATCAACTACCTCCTGACTGATTTCTTCCAGCTTCTTGATGTTGCCTTCTATATTGGACTCCATTTCCGTATAAGTAATTCTACTCTTAATGTCGACACCGGGATACGTTCTTAAATTTCTTAAATCTTTTGTTAATCAGGATATAATCGATCTGATCTTTTACCAGGTGATCCGAGGAGTCTTGTGGTGGTTTCCAAGTGTACAGTCGGCTTAACGATAATTTAAAGAATGTATTAGTGACTGTTCTTCTATAACAAAACTACATAGTCGATCTCCACGCTCGTTTGGCTTTCTCAGTCCCTAGGGTCCTATAACTTCAACACACTTTCCCTGCCCAATTTTGGCGTTGAAATCTCCAATGATTAGGGTTATATCTCCTCTAGAGAGACTCTTCAGTGTCTTGTTTATATCATCATAAAACAATTCAATTATTTCGTCCGATTTATCTGCTGTTGGCGCGTAAACTTATATTATATTTATTTTGACAGGGAAGGAATTAATTTGAATGACTATTATTCCCTCCAATATTGGGGTGAAATTTGTAGCATGTTTGGCGATGTTTTTATTTAGTATAATACCTACTCCGTTAACGTGTTGTCCCGTGGTGTTTCCTGAGTAATATATTTTATGATCTTCTATACTACATTGACCGGAATCGGTCCAGCATATCTCATTGACTCCCATGACGTCCATCGAGAGTCGATCCATCTCTTTTATGGCATTGAGTATCTTTCCTGCGTCATACATAGTTTTCACATTCCAGGTACAAACCTTAATAGGCAACCCGAGGATTCTTAGCAGCCTCTGACCATCTAAGGTCTGCCGAGGACTGAGGCCCATTTTTTTATTTCTGCCATGTTACATTTATACTAGATATTATGTTCATGTCCATGCGCAGTATCCCAGCCGGTGAAATCGTTTACCTGATTGCCGCCTCGGAGTTTTTGGAGTTGAAATATGTATAAACGTTTTTTTTCGCACCCTGCATGTCCAAAACGAAGAATTTTTTTATATATACATACTTAAAAGAATAGTCATTTTTATCTGATCAATACGCCACTAAAGTTTCTCTATTATAAATAGGACCACCTATTATATAACTTCTGGAATTGTTATGTAAGTAAAAGCGAATTTAAGTAGCGCGAATTATCCTAATTTAATTTGCAAACCTCCAGATATTAGTTGCGCAAACTGAAGAGACCACCTCTTTTCTCATTCAAATTACATAACAAATGCCACTGGTAAAAAAATATCTATTCTATACGTTAATAAAGTTAAGTAGCAACAATACCTATCCAGTTTCAAAGCAATATCTAGAAGTTTTTTTTTTAAGAAGAAACAACGATTTTTTTCGCGCCCTATATCCAAAAGGAAGGATTTTTATATGAACTTTTTAAATTATTTTTTTTTAGGTGATTATGCTACTAAATTCTTGCCATATTAATAAATTTCTGGAGGAGACCAACTTTTATTTCATTAAAATTAATTAAAACCGTCTCGCGAGCCTGTTCCACTGCTAGATTTTCTCCATTATAATCCGCTATAACCCTGCGCTGCTAAGAATAAAAAGCATATAAAAAATGAAATATTACTAAATAATTAGGAGAAGCAGGAGAATAAAATATTCTGTAAATATTTATTATGGAACGATTACAACCCATTAAGGGGTGTGAAAAAAAAAAAACAAAGAAATCTCAAAACTTTTTAATAATCTTTCCTGTGATCTCTGCGTTGTCTGTCCCAGTTCTGCTGATTCCCACCCCTGTAGTTTTGACGTTCGCCCCGGAAGTTGCTCTAAATTAGAAAAAATGTATATATTAGCAATAGTTTCGTTAAGAACTGCAATTCGAGATCATATCAACACATAATAAAATTAATTTGTAGTTTAACCTTTGCGTTAGAGTTAATCTTTGGTCTTAGTAGTGTTCATTTTTACTTAATCCATATCCAACAAAGTTTCAGATTTTTCTACGCTTTGTAACCTCATTGTCTTTCCATGACATAACCTAAAAAATAGCTTCCCTTACCTGATTGGCGCGCAAAAAGAAGTTGCCCTGTTTCGTCTCCAGAATCCTCTCGTTCGAGTCAACGAAATTGTTGATCTTGTCGGCGAGCTGCAACGCCAACGACTGCAGCCTCGACGGCTCGCTGCGATGCATCACCACCGTTTGCGTCGGATCGTCCAGGGAAGCCTTAAAACGTACGCGTATTTTTAGGTATCAGTATAATTATTAATATGCTCTCTTTTCTCCATCAACTCAATAATAGAATAACAAAAACTAACCATATACTTGCTTATTTCTACGCAATCAAAAATACAGAAAGCCGCAAGCAAAACAGGCGACAACAAGGCGTAAAATATTTGATCTCGCCCCTTGGTCTACATGGTTTTTCATATTTTAATTGTGTAGGAAAAATAAGCAAGACTTTCGCAAGACTTTGCCTCCGACCGCCACTGGCATAAAAAATTGTAATTTAGTTACGGATAAGTCTGCCTTTTATCACTACATATAAAACTACCTCCATCCAGGTAATCTGGAGAATGTCATTAATAAGAAACCAATAAGAATTTGTTGTCAGCGGCGCGCATTTTTTTTTGTCAAAAATATTCGGAACTGTACTCTACAATGTTAATTTAATTAAAATAATTAATGAATTTCAACAAAACCCATCCAGGGATATTTGAGTTAAGTGCAGGGAAACTTCTAAGGAGTCTAAGGTCAGTTAATGGGAGTACACGACAATGTTTATTTGTGTACGTGGTGATTTGATTCAGAAACTTTTTTCCTAGTATTTTTGAAGGATTCTCATTAAAAAGTTGAAAAGCGACTAAAACCAAAATATCGGTTTTAGATTGATTGTGGGAATGAGTCAAAGTTTCTTATATCAGTAAGAATTTCTGAAAAAATAAATCAGAATTTCTGAGGTAAGTCTTTCGTAAGGTAGACTGCAAATCGAAACATTAAATATACATGGTGTTAAGAAATGTACATTTAAATTATGTTTATGTCTTATTTTTATTTATTTATTTTAATTTTTTCTTTTTCTCTTTATTGGTGACAACGGGGAGTTACAACATACAAACTTTTTTTTCTCTTCGGGTTATTACAGTAAATTGTTAGTTTTTAAACATAAGTAGCGTACAGAACTGATCGTAGGGATCCTGCGCTAATTTCACGCGGAAGTACGGAACGAGAGACGCGAACGGCGTACCGAGCGAGTGGTCCGAGTTTTATCGGCCGCGATAGTTTTCCCTGGTTTTTTTCCGGCCGTGTTTCTTCCGTTTAACGTGCGCGAGGCAAGAAGACGACGAAGCTGCGAAGGCGAATTGAGTAACCTTCCAAACGACACAAGCCAGATCTATTCTCCGGCGGAACGACGGAACCTCGTGGTCTGTCGGTAGGATCCACTGCATTTTAATCTTTCCTGTACGTTTTTCTGAATAGCCAAATTTCGGGTTACAGTTTGCTTCGAAGATTTATAAGAATTTAATCGGGATAATTCTCCCTACAACATTTTTCATAATTTCTGCGTTTACACATGGCGATTAACAAAGTACGAGATGTGGAGGTCTAGACACCAAAATATTATGAAATTCAAACATTTTATTTGATTTTTTCTACTGCTATTACCAGATTTGTTAAATAATGGCTTTTTATTTTTCCTAGTACCTTTTCATCTATTAAGCTTTTATAAACAAAATTCATGAAAAAATACATCGACCTTTTTAACTCCAAAATATTCAGTTTCGATGAAAAAAAAAATTTTAGCTTTCCATTACGTTTCGACAGATAAAAAAAAATACGAAAGTAAATAGTGCGTCCAAATAAGTTTTAAAATTTTAATTGTAATGGGAAAAGAACACTGCCAATTTTTTTTAACCATTGAATATCCTGGATCTCCGAAACTGACATTTGTTGACCTCAATCCAAATATTTTGGTGTCTAGTATCTCGCACGTTGTTTACGATTTACCCTGTATATCCGATGTTTCCATTCACAATGTTCCTGACGACAGAGTTGTGTCAGAAATTCCGACTTATATTCAAGAAAAGTCTAATATCTCGCACGTCGTTTACGATTTACTCTGTATATCCGATGTTTCCATTCGCATGTTCCTGACGACAGACTTGTGTCAGAAATTCCGACTTATATTCAAGAAATTCTGACTTACTTTTCAGAAGTACTGACCTTAGTGAGAAATTCTTACTTGTTTTCAAGAAATTATGTTTCATTTTTCGGAAATTATTACTTATTTTTTAGAAATTTTGACATATTTATCAGAAATCCTAACTTGAGTGAGAAATTCTTACTTGTTTTCAAGAAGTTATAAATTATTTTTTAAAAATTATTATTTATTTTTTAGAAATTCTGACTTATCTTTCAGAAAGATTAACTTAAATGATAAATTCTTACTTGTCAAGAAGTTATGAATTATTTAAAAAAAAAATATTACTTACTTTTTAGAAATTCTGATTTATTTTTCAGAAATATTAACTTAAGAGAGAAATGCTTACTAGTTTTCAAGAAATTATTATTATTTTTCACAAATTATTACTTTTTTTACGAATTCTGACATATTTTTCAGAAATTTTTACTCATTTTTCGGAAAGCCTAATTTATACCAGAAATAGTAATTGATTCCTCAAAAATAATAATTAAACTCAAAATATTTTCTCTATGAAACTAAGATTTAATTTTCTTTATTTTATTTATTCTTTATTGGCTTTGTAAGAGTTAATTTTGATTTATTAAAATTGTTTTTATCGCCATATTGGTATAGTGTCCTCATTTTTGTGGAAACTAAAAAAATATTCTATATCATACTCATAAACCAAGTAAATATCAAATCTACAGCTAAAATTTCAAATTACGTAAAAAGTGGGATGGAGCGGTCAAAAAAAAAATTAAACACGTATGTCCTGATGACTACTCACCATCAGTTCCTCGTTGATGATCATCTTTGAAATGATGGAATGAACGACGGGCTTCTCTAACTCGAACATGTCGGCGAGAGTCTGCATCGATATCGAATCGTACACATGGGAATAACTGAACAGGTACGTCCTCAGGGATTCTTCCTTGATCAGTTTCGTGAGCATCGCTCGCACTGCGTCTGCCTGGTAGAACAGCTCCCACACTTTCGTGTTCATTTTGTCGTTGATGATGAAGTTGTTGCAGGCGAGCCAATTGCCGTTGCGCATCGCTTTCGCGGCAGCTACCACGTGCTCGCGCATGCTCTCCGGTGGTCCGACCAGACTCTGTCTTTCCGATGACCTGCGACAACGCACCTACGTTACACCGTCATGTTAGGGACAAAAATCGTAAATTCTTTCATGTTTTTTGAGTCTCTCCAATATATTGTTTGCCGCATATACACTGAATGCTGCAAACTCCTGATATCTCAAACGAAATTTGATTTTGTCTTTGACGGATCGAAGATAAGAGATTTTTGGACCAGTTGTAAGTCTGGTTTGGACGTTATATTTCTTAAGAACTTTTGATATGTGGTCAATGATGTTTCAATGTAATTAAGGACAACAACAACAGTGGCTAGTGTTGGGTTGCGGTCGGAATCATTTTCGTGGGAAGGTTGTGGTGAAATGTAATTTGTGATGGAACGCTTAATATTAGAGAGAAGAGCAGATCTAAAGTGTAATTATGGGTTTAGTGACTCGGGTGTAGATACGGTTCTGTAAACAAGAGAGTTGATGACTGATGATTTTAGGGCCGGTTGGTGGTAAACAGATTGACCCAATGTTAGGTCTGATTTTTTATTAATAGGAATATCATTAGTTTTTAATTCATTGGTAAAACGTGAGTTAGGGTGGATAGAGTGTAAATGGTTAAGATAATCTAGGAGGGATTCTTGACCATGAGGTCAAATAACAACAGCATCATCCACGTAGCGTTTCCATAATTTTGGTCTTAGATGGAAGGTGGCGGAGCTTTGTAACGGGTGAATTATTTAATTTGGCTGAGTTTAGTATTTAGCTAATCCTCGGGAAATTCTATCATCGATGAATAAAGTTAGAAGTTTCTGGCGCCCAATTTCACCCGGGTATTAATTCGACTTCCGGACGGAGATAACTTAAATGTGAAGTAATTCATTTTTCAAAGAAACTGCCACAGGTTACTGTAATACTCTTCACAAAACTTCTGAATTCCTCCTGCGTCGGTTTTTGGTGAGTCGAACTGGCTAACGCTTCGCCAATCATCCTGTTGGCTTCTTCGGAACTTGACTGAAACGTTAGCAAGCTTGATTCACCAACAACCGACGCAGGAGGAATCCAGAAGTTTTGTAAAAAGTACTCTAGAGTTAATCTATCAATCTATAAGTATTGATCTACGTTGTAATTAGATTACGTTAATTATTATTAAATCTTCTTTTTTCATAGATCTTATTAATATATATTAAATAACATTACTTTTATTCGTATGTATCAGGTGTGCGTCTAACGCTCAATCCACAAAATAAGGATACATTCCGTCATTAAATATTAAAAATTAATTACTAAAAGCAAAAATTAACCCAACTTACGGAGCGCACTCGTTCGCAAAATTCGTCAAAATTAACCAGAATATCATATAGATCTAAAGTAATGGTTTTTGATTGTTCAATGAAGTGAAAGGAATTAAGTACGAAACTATCAGTTTCCTCAGTAAAGGGTTTAAAATATAGAATTTTGCTGGAGAATATCTTGGAGAACCAATGGTGCTGACAATAGGGGTAATCCTGGTTTGTGGATCTTCGGAAGTCCGTAGAGACGAGGAATTTTTGGGGGTGTGATAATCTTTATCACAGATTCTAATTGAGAAAAAACCTTAATCTCCCATTCTTACACACCTGCGCAGACAGACCGATACCATAATGTCGCATTACAATCCTGTCCAAAAATCGGTTATTAACTCTCTTGTTTAAAGAGCTGTAGTTCAACCCGAGCTACTGAACCTTGAATTAAAATACCTTCTCCACTCTGTAATAGTTTCCACATTAGGGATATTAACTGTTCCATTACAAAATATGCTTCTCCCCAATGTTTTAAAGAAAATAAGTCCAAAAGCAACAGTTGTCCTTTCTTACGTTCAAAACATCACTGACCGCATATCATAATTCTTAATTATTTACCACAGATTTACCACTTGTCCAAAAATCTCTCAACAACTTCAATGCGTCAAATACAAAATTCCGTTTGAGGTGAACAACTTTTTCTAGTTGTCCATTTAAGTAGTTTATCTGTTATAATATACAAATTGTATAAAAAAATAAGAAGTTTAATTAGATTTTAACTAAAAAAAAAGGTGTTTGTTAATGTTACAGAAAACGGACAAAACAAAACCCAATAATAATAATAATTCATCACTTAAAAGCATTTATTTCTATATTCTCTTAAATGTACAAAAACCAAAACCAAAACAATTTGAGTTTTAAAACAAAAAAACATGAGCGATTTTCACATAAACCCGTTTGAGTTCATTTACCTTATTTATCTTTTTATCTTATGTCATGATGTTATTTTTAAAAACCCATGTTCATATGAAAAAAAAACATATTTTTCCATAATTTTTTTATGGACATCTTGGATAGATAAAAGTTCTTACGAAATGGCAAAAATTTTAATTATTAATTTTACGAAAAAATGTGCCTCTTTCTAACAGTTGAGACAATCAATTTGCACAAGAATGCGTGTATGTATACAGGATGGCTTTAAAAAGTACCGAGTTCAAAATTAAATGAAGTAATTGACTAAATCTTCAAAACTAACGGTAGTAAAGGCATGCGGAATGTGTGATAATATGAAAGATTAACAATAAATCAATAAAAAAACTACTAAAGAGGTGGAAGAAATGATAAATTGGAAAAAATTAAACCACTTTGTTGACAGAAATAACTTAAGGTAATAAAAATATAAGAAAATTCAAATACAATTTTCGAAAAATTAAGGCTGTAAGTTGTACTAAGTAATATTATTATGACAAAAATCATAAAATTTTGTTAAACAATTTTGAATAATTCTTTAAATAAACGATGTATATTATATAAGTAATATTTTCATTATTTATATAATACTATAATATTATTACCAATATTTCGGATTCCTTTTGTGTCGGTTGTGAATAAATAGAACTTGATAACGTTTTGCCAATCATATTGTCATCTTCTTCAGAGTTCAACTGAAACTGGCTCGTGTCCTACTCTGTACCTGCTTATACACTGTTTGAGGGGGGCGGAGCTAAAGGAGGCGTATGAATATATAGATTTATATGGATTCCTTTATTTTTCTTTCGTAGAAGAATTGATTACATACAAGAATTTTAGTTTGAGACGAATAAGATTTGATGTTCTTTGAGTCTAGTTTAGTTTATATTTTTCGTCTTTTTTCTTCAATGCATTCTTTGCCGTATACGCATGCAATGCTTTAAACTCCTGGTATTTCAAACGGAATTTTCTTTTTGACGGAGTGAAGATGTTGAGAAATTTTTGGACAAGTGTTAAATCTGGTTTTGATGTTATATTTTTTAAGAACTTTTGATATGTGGTCAGTGATGTTTTCAATGTAAGGAAGGACGACAGTGCTAAGTTTGGGGTTGCTTTCAGACTCATTTTGTTTGGAACATTGTAGCGAAATATATTTCGTGATTGACCATTTAATATCTCCAAATAGAAATTATTAGAGAAAAGAGAACGTGTTTTAAGTCTAGGTCCGGTAACTCGGGTTACGATAGTGTTACAACTCTGTAAGCAAGATTTGACCGATGATTTTTAGATTAGATGGTGAGGTGATATTAAGGTCTTGGTCTGTGTGAGTAGGTTTGTAATAATGGAAAATTAAGGCTTCTTCTCTCGAATCTGAAATCGGAAAAAATTTGTCACCCCATACGACTTTAAACTTCCTCATCTCTATGGAGTCCCTAAGATTGACAAACCAAGGTTACCTCAAGGGTTAGACCTATCACCAGTCATTTTTTGTTGTTCTATACTTTTTGATGGGCTTTTTCTTTAACTTAATCAGGTTCGTAATAGCGCTAATGTATGAAAAATGTCTAATAAAAAACCATTAAAGTAAGTAACGTTTTCAAATGGCGTTTAAAGCAAAAATTCCGAGTGGACCAACGACTTTTGTTGATGTCGATGCTCACACTTGCAATAAATTGCATCTCCATCTCTTCTGCGAGCAGACCTTTTAAAAAATATCTGCAGTCTGTCCAGTTTTAAGAACGAGTAACAATATCAATCGGTATTAACAATAACATGTTCTTTGTGTTTCTCTAAAAAAAAATTCAATTACCTCAACTGCTGATAGAATGTCTTGGAGATCATGCGCCTGCGTGCGTCGAACTCGTGCGCGGCCATGTACGGGATTTCGATCAGCATGGCAGACACCAGGTACACACACTCTAACAGTTCGAGGTTGATGTGCATGTGGAACGGCATCTGTCTCTGTTTCTCGATCTTTTCCTGCTCCTTGCTGCGCTCGTGCTGGCGTTGCGGCAGCAGCCCTTGAGCGAGCAGTTCCTTCGGCTTGCCGGTCATCATCAGATCGACCAGACAGTTGTGTGCGTCCTTGATATTCGCGTGGCGGAACGCGCACAGCCCGAGGTGCGCCATCGTGCGGTTGTAAAGGATTTGGGTGCTCGGATCCGAGTGCTGGATCGTCTCTTGCAGATGGGACATTAGTACCAAATCCCGTGCCTACGACAACTCGCTCTTACCTTGGTGCGTGATATCTTGCGCCAGGTGTTTTAAAATAAAGGAGATCGTCAAAATCAGAGCAAACACGATAGTTTTTATACCTTTTTGGTTTGAAGCTTTAAATAAATACACAGCCAAAACTAAGAAACAGGCAAACTTCAAGAAACAGGTTATCCAACAAGACCCCTTGGGTAATATCTAACTAACTTTACCAACAAGAATTCCACTGAATTAGTAAATAAACATTGAGAAATGTTTTTAAAAAAGGCGTTTGTCACAATTGGAGCTTGAATGTGATATTCGAATGACCACTCGAACCAGCAACATGGCGTCAACTTCAAACCTCAAAAGATACTTTTTACATCTTTTAATTTGAAAGGTTGAATGACAACTCTTTTTATATCTTTTAAGCTTTGAAGAAAAACACCTGTTACATTTTTTAATTTGAAGCTTTGAATAAAAACTTTTTTAAATATGTTTTAATTTGAAGTTTTGAATAAATACTTTTCAAAGACACTTCGTCCTTGTCGGTTGTTGATGAATCTGACTTGCTAAGTTTTGTAAGTTTGGCCAATCATCCTGTTGGCTTCTTCAGAGCTTAACCGAAGCTTGAGGGGGCGGAGCTAAAGGAGAGACACAAACATTGTCTCTGATGACCGATATTGTTGAAAGGTAAAGACCTGAGTCACTGTTAAGATTGTTTGGTTGCTTATAGCTTACATGCCCCTTTCCTTTAGCCCCGCCCCCGTCCTCCCTATATATATTGCAGGTACAGAGTACAATGCGTGCAAGTTGCAGCTGTCAGTTTCAGCAATTTCAATTCATCAACAACCGACGCAGGAGGAATCCACAAGTTTTGTAAATAGTATTACAGTAGCCTGTGAAAATTTCTTTGAAAAAATATTTATTAAAAGCTCATATCACAGAATTAATAAATAAAATTAAACATTTAAAACTACCAAATAGTGGCGAACTAATTTAATCTGATTGAGCTTTTATATCTGTGTATTTATGATAGCTAAATAAAATTCTACATGAGCAATTACGTTAAATCCTACGAGATCTCGAGCAATCATGAGAAATTATTGTAATTCGCGCGAAATCAAGCGGACGTCCGAGCATTCGCCTGGAAATCACTGATTCGCGCAATAGGGTCAGAATTTTTACCATACCCAAATCAAATCATTATACCAAGACTACTATAATAACCGGTGGTGTTATTACTGTAATTTCTAGAATTAAGTTTTAAACACCTCAAGGAATTAATATAAATATAAGAATTTATATTCCTGAATGATTTAAGTCATGGTGTAAAACTCTGGGGCCTGGTTTTTACAAATGAGGAAAATGTTAGTCAGTTAGATTGGTTAAATATACCTGGAACCAGTTGTCGTGCAGAGCGTGATGGTACATGTGGGATAAGATGGCCCTCGTCCTCAACCTGTCAGTGTTATCTTTCGCGTAGATGTACTTGCAGAGTTTTTCCATCTCAGTGACTGAAGTGACGACCTCTTTGGAGAGCTCACCTGCCTTTTGTTGCAACACCCTCGGGTCGAACTTGTAATACAAATGCTCGATTTTCCTCAAGTAAACGCGACACAGCTCCGACGGCACGTTCGTTCTCTCCATGTATCTCATCGTTTTGTCGATTATGTCGGACACTCGGGTCTCGTCTTTCAAACGCTCGACGTATTCGTTGCTGTGCGGGTCGCATTCTTTCAATAACTTCGTAAACTCGTCGTCTAACCTATAAATCGACCCTACACTTTTGAAATGGCTCATTTTTATTCATGTTTTCATTTTAACGGTATACGAATATCTCGACAAAAAATGTTGCCAAGCATCCCTGCAGTTTTCAAAGGATTTATACATACACAATACCATTTTCAGGTATAAAAAAAAGATAGATACATTTTAAAATTTCATTCGATGTAAGCGAACAGAACTTATTCAATTACATGTACATCTTTTTATTTTAATTGCAATTTCGAAAAAATGCACTTTTATCATGTGACAACGTCGTACAGAAACAGCAACGTTGTTGTCTAAGTCACAGTACGGTGGCGCTGTTTTATAAATTATCACGGAACCAATAAAAATCGTCTTTTCACTTAAAATGATTTTAGAATTGCAGTTAGGTTCTGTTCTATTAACGTTTTTCTTGTTCCTCAATTTTAGGCATAGATTTTACGGAACTTAGGCAAAAACTTTACTGTATGGAATGAAAAAAAAGTGTCTAAAAAAGAGGTAGGTCGATTGATGGTTGAAATACTTGCTGAGGTTAAGAACGTGTTTGTCGATTTCTATTGGCGTTTCGTTTATTTTCAACGCAAACTTTGGTTTCCGTTGGGAACCAATTTTTAGAACAGCATATATACTGTCACAGACAGACATACAGAAACTTAAGACACAGTAAGTAATGGTAAATGGTATTCAGAAATTTGATTGAAACATGCTGATATCAACACATTGAATTTTCAAGGGAAGCTCAAAAAACCGTTAGTAACTGTAACATAATTATAGATTTGGGTAAAGATATCGCATTCATTGAAAAATAAAGGTTAGAAAATTAGGGCAGTTGGAAAAGTAGTGGAGGACGTGGTTGACATCCTGGAAAGGGAAGATTGGCTTCAAGCCTATTTTTGTGACCCGAGAGGCTATTCACCATCTAAAATTGGTATACAAGATTTCAAGGATTTCTCTGGATTCAGTTTTCAGTTTCCAAGTTTCACCAATTTCGAAAAATAATTTTTAGATTATGCAAAAAAAGTTTGTATTCTGTCTTAATTAAAAAAATACTGAATAAAACTTGTATATGAAAAAAAAAAAAGTTAAAATATTTTTTCAAAAAGTCAGAGAGTATTCACAGTGTGAGTTTAAAATTTTTACTTTCATAAACTCCACTAATTTTTAAAAGATATTTTTGTTTTTTTTGCCTAATTTAGTTTATTTTTTCTTCTTCTTAATTTTATATGAGTAAAAAAATTTTAATTAAAGTAAATTTTTCAAAGAAATTTTCAGTTTATCATAATATTTGCCAAGATTCAAAGTTCGCTTCGCGGCGCTTGTGCTTCATTACCTTATAACCTTAAAAATGCCATTTGAATTGGTTGAATTCAACAAACGAACAAAGGGCGATATCCGTAAATAGTTTTCATTTAATTTCAGTGAATTATTAGTTTCACCAATTATGCTTGTATATTTATTAATTTTAATGCTTTGTAGTTACTAACTGCTATTTGTGAAAATTGGTTAACACGCAATCAAATTCTCACCTTAAACCTACAAATAAGGTCAAAATAGTTAATGTCAAAACAGTCAATGTTTTGGGATTGAGTTGTCTAAGAAATTTATGTTAAAGATGATTTATCAACCCAAAATGCGCAAAAGTCAAAATTATAAAAATTTCACAGATTTGACGGGTTTTACAGACATGGTGCACCAGATTTCAGCCTTCGATTGAGTATCTCAACTGATTTACTCGATAAGTATAGCCTTTGAGTAGGTGTTAGTGCCCAACCATTTCTTAGTTCCTATCTGTTTCCTTTGTTGTATCATTAAATGAAGATTATTATTATAAGTATATATATTTTATTTAATGCACAAGAGGTTACTTTATTGAATATTTCAATTTACACCAATGATTACGTGGTTACCATAGCATTTAGGGAAGGTTCCTCACGGTAAACTGCATTTGAATCAGACTACCACTTTTTCATTCAATATGTTCATTTTCATTCATTCAAACTTACCTCTCAACTGCGGTCAGGACGCAGCCCCTTATTCTGTATGGGGGCTCGTCCAAAGTCTCGTTCTCCTCGAGCACCGACTCGGACACGGTGAGGTTTTGATTGGCCAACAAGATATCGAGCATCTCGGACATGCGATCGAGCAGTTTATTCCAATATTCGGGTTTCATTGCGTCCGAAATCTTCGGGTTGTAATCGAAGATGGCGGAAATGATGGCGAATTTGATTTTCGCGAAGATGGCGGGCCCCAGCTTGTGCTGGTCCGAGATTGCCTGCAGCTCATGCAAGAGCTCGATCTGCTCGCGTCTGTCTGTGCGTTTTTTACCCCGCGCGGCCATCACCTCGCTCAGCTTTTTTATTACCAAATTCAGATCGATCTCGGCGTCTTTGGCGAACATTTTGGGCTTTTCCTAAATTATAAAAAAAAAAAACGCAAAACTATTGCCAACCTAGAAGTTGATTTGTCTCTTTTCGAAGAAATTAATATTTTTAATCCCTCGAATATTATCAGATTTCCTAAACCTACTGAATGTCCGTTACAGAGAACAGAGTATGTGGAACAGAGAAAAGACAAAAATAAAGATGGCACCACTCACACTCGGTATGGCGATTCCGTATTTCACTTTTTCCCATCCCTCTCCATCCGCGTCCTCCTCTTCCGCCTCACGCTTTAACTTCCGCCTTTCCTTCTCTTTCCTCTCCTTGCGTTTTTCTTCCTTCCTGCGCTCCTTTTCCTCGTCGTCTTCTTTGTTCCGTTTTAAGAACCTCTCCCTCATATTGGTGTATTTGCCTTCATCATCATCGGAAGAGTCTGAACTGGAATCGGAATCGGACGGCCAATCGTCCGAATCGGAAGATTCGTCTTTCTCTTTTGGTTCCTTTACCGCCGGCGTTTTCATAAATTGAGTGCTGACGTGCTCGGTTTCCGAGTCTGATTTGACTTCCTCTAAAAACAGCAGCACAACTTAAACTCCGATTTCATTTTTCACTAAAACTCACGTTTATCATTATCTTCTTCGTCATAATCAGGCTGATCCGGATTTTCCTTAAACTTTGCTATCTCATCATCAAAATCTTTGATGTACTTTCTCAACTTCTGCCTCATCGAAGTCAAGGATTTGCTAATAAGAACTAATATAATGTATTTTTTTTTGTTTAATTCGAAGTCCTACCTGTTATTCTTGCTCATATTCTTCCGACCTTCCCGATCTTCCCAAACTTCGTTGATGAATTCCTCCAACTCAACCAAACATCTCACAAAAAACCTTGGGATCTGACCATTCTCCTCTTTTGCAATCACTGGCGCAGCTTTCACAAAAGCCTTTTGCAAATCCTCGAAGCCTAAAAATGAGTATTCAGAAAAAAGCGCGCTACACACTTCATCTTACTGTTAAGCATGCTGGACATATCCTTGATTTTTTTGTAGTTACGAATTTGTTTAATAATGTTGGTCAATTCTTCATAGCGTTTCTCTTTGGCGGACCGTACGACGCGCTTAACTTCCTCCTCGTCATCGCTGAACTGAAATTATATGATAGTAATACAGTATCGGAACCGAAATAATGGAACATACGGTGTACACCGGAACCTGCGGACGTTGAACTTGTTCCTCTCCAGAAGAGCTCTCGGAATCTGAGTCTGAACCAGCAAAGAATCTACTCATTTCACACGCTTTTTTACCTTAAAAAAATATGTTTTTCACAAGAAAAAAATCCCTTAAAATCATTACTCACTTTTTATAAAGCAGTTAAAAACACTGGAACCCCACTAAAATACAATACCCGCAGTATCGCAAACCTCTAAATTCGAGGAAAGTTACTCACTCTTGGTTGCGATAATTGTAACCAAAGAAATTCATCTTCGTTTCGACTGTCCACGTTTCAGCAAAAAACTTTAGCCTTCTTTTATTATGCCGAATAATAAGACGACTTATCTTGGTCGAGTGATCCAATTAGTTTTGTCAAGTAAAAATATACGAAGGGACAGTAGGTTTATTTACACAGGTTTCGGTCAACAATTTTTGTACATTAAAAATGCATGTAGAAATTGCAAAATTTTTATAAAACTTCTGGATTCCTCCTGCGTCGGTTTTTGTTGAGTCGATGATTGATGATTGGCGAAAAGTTAGCCAGTTGGATTCAACAAAAACCGTCCACAAGTTTTCTAAAAAATATTACAGTAAGCCTGTGGAAGTTTCTTTGAAAAATTATATTGCATCGTGTCCACCGGGCTTTTTCCGTTCAAAAGTAGATGTGAATTTTATTACTCTATGTTTTGGAATGATTGCAATTTTTTTTTAGTTTGGAGAGACGTAAGAGTTTTTCATGAAAAATGAAACGAGGAGTTGTATGACCACAATTTTGATATTTTACATAGTTTCCTTATTAAATCGAATAAGCATAGCAGTTTGGCAGCTGGGTGTGATGTAGGAGGTACAATTTCCGGTTCTACTAAATTAATTCAGAATTAACGAATAGGAATGGTAGCAATAGAAGTAACGTGAATTTGATTTGTTTGGCCGAATGGCCCGACAAGGTTCCGAGAAATTAACCAAAGTAAATGCGATATGCCTTGAACCAATAATTAATATCGGCGTAAATTTCTGTAATTGTTTAGATAAAAACAAGCAGAATAAAAAACAAATTTATTGCCAAAATAGTTCACATCCATTACAAAAAATACTAGACCGTCTTAAAATATCAAAAAGACAAATTTGATTGTTGTGCTCGTTGCTCACGCTCTCATCGTCTTATAAACACCGAAAAGCAAGCTTGCGTGACATAAATGTAACAAAGCGCTTGACAAATTCGTGCTAGGATAAACATTCCAGCAGTACTCCACGAGGGCCAGCAATAGAAAACGAAATGGTTTACGGTATTCCGTGCAAAACACCAGATAAAGCAAACTGTGAAAGTACCAACTGTAAAACTGATAATGTAGGGATCTAGCGCACGCGATCCCTATCAAATTCGTAACGAAAAACGGTAAGACGAAAAGCTGCGCTATTTTCGACAGTTTATCTTGTAATTTCGATGTTTCTTCGAACGTATCCTCCTCCTTTCGTCTTAATTGGTTGTCGAAGGCATCTAACAGCATTTTTTCTTTTTTGCTTAGACGATCGTTGGCTTTTTTCTTAGCCAGAGTCCTTCTGTGTCGCTCTTGCTCGAGTTGAGCTTTTAGGCCGCCCGTCACGCAATTTAGTTTGGCGTAACTACTCAAATACCGTCTCAGAAGTGGCAGGAACACGACTAGCAAAAATGTGTGCAGCACCAATAATCCGATGTGGAAATATTTGTGCTCAAACGCGTCTCTAGTTAAGAACCTGTAATTTACAGTCCACTTGTGTTCGAAAACTCTGCCGAAGTTGAAACTGTATTTAATATATGACCACGGATTGTCGTACAGAAAAGGCGCGCCCAAAACTAACTGCACAAAACCACACACAAATAAGTTGACTAAGGTTTCCATATAGGTTAGGTTAGTTAAATAGGCGACTAGGAGACAAGGGGCATATAAAAGTATGTTCATCTTAACGGACACCGCGAGAGAATAAAAAACGCTTCCCAGAATCCATCGGTCAGAAATAAAAAAATTGAGACCTACATAGAACAACAACACCGCGATTGGATCATTAAAAAGCCTCAAAACGAATATCGAATGGATCCTGTAAGATGTAAAGGTGGCCAGGACCAAAGCGTACGGCGGCACTTTCGCCGTTTTCCTGTAAATTCGATGTATTAAAACTGTCTGTATTAAATAGAGCACCAAAAATATGTACTGGGCCAAGTATATATTTTTCCCATGACTTGTTGCGTAATACAGGGCCGCATATACGTAAACGAAACCGGCAGGATACACCAACGGCCCCGTATCACCTAAAACTTATACTTAGAACTATACTAACCAAAAATAATAAAACCTGTTACCTTTCAGGTACTCGTAGTCCAAAGTACCGTTCAAAAATCCTTCGACCTCTTGCATGTAAGCGACCCAGTCGATTTCCGTATATTTTACTTTTTCTATGATATACACGTTCAAAGCGGCCTCGAATAGAAACAAAAAAAGACATACTGGCCCCAAGTGGTGCGGATCGAAGACGATCTGTTTTAAGAACGCCGCGTTCAGGTACTTTTTACAGTTGTCGTCGGACGGGGTCTGATTTTTACCCGCGTGTCTAATTTTCGGCGGTGCCATTTTAAGCGTTATCTGATACGCTTACATCGCCGATTGAATTTGATCGGGTGTTCGCTTCCAAGGGTTATTTTCGGAGACCGGGATATTATCCTCTTCTTTTCTATTTAACGGTAATAATTTTTGAGCCGATTGATCCTAATAAACTCGGCCGATAGAAATAAAGGAGAAGAAATTTTTCAGTTTAATCAGCTTTGGTCTTATTCAGCGGACGTAGCAAAGCGCTCCCGAGACGTAGCGGTACGGTTCAGGTTCGGTGTTCAGATAGGGAGGTTAGTGCTCTTAATTCTCTTTCTCCCACTAACACGTGTTCCTATTTTACCGGTGAGTTATATTAACTAACTAATCAGCATACAAATTACAATCCATTAAAGAGAACTGTCCAAATGGACGTCTTTGGGGAAATATCACCCCCCAACAAATTAAAAGAATTATAGGAGATGGCTCTCAAATTAATGAACTAGTTGAAAAGGAAATTATTCTGTATGAAAACGAAGATGTTGGCCCTTTCATAGTCTATATTGAATCCGCGGAGAAATCTGATCGTAATATAGGTAGATTTAACAATCTTAAAATAGCAAGAGAAATTTTTAACCTTCATCTCAAGGACGTTAAAAAAATTCACAACAAAGGTACAAACCGTATAGCGATAGAGTTTTTTAGATATGAAGCAGCCAACAATCTCCTAAAAAACCAATATATTTTAGACAAAGGTTTTAAGGTCTTCATTCCATTTAATTTTGTCACAAGTAAAGGTATTGTAAGGGACGTAGATATAGATGAAGATATCGAAAATAATTTTGAAAATATATGCAAATCTTCAGCAAAGATAATTCAAGCCAAAAGACTTAATCGTAAAATAATTGTAGATAACAAGACTCAGTATAAACCAACCGGTACTCTCTTATTCACATTTCGAGGGGTTCTTCTACCAAAGCACATTTACTTTTATGACCTTCCCCTTCCGGTAAACGTTTATATCCACCCTGTCACTCAATGCTATAAATGCCTACTCTACGGACATACCAGGAAAAATTGCAAAGGCAGGGAAAAATGTTTTAATTGCGCAGACAATGAAGAAACCGACGATAGCTCAGACTTCCCCACTCAATACTCGTGTACCCAGAAATGTCATTTCTGCAGAAATGAACACACTACTTCGAAAAGCTGCCCCGAATTCAAACGACAGCAAAACATTAAACGGATTATGACGTACGAAAACTTAACCGTCTATGATGCCAACAAACTATGCGCTAAAACCTACAATAATAATGAAGTATTTTCATACCAACCAAACGAATTCCCTTCTTTAAGAAATAATACGGTTAACAAGAATGATAATTACACATACACTATATCCCCTTCCCAAAGACGGCTAGCAGACTTCACCAACAAACGGTCTCAGGGGAACCCAACAAAAAAAGACTGATCCACAAAATCTATGACAGACAGTCCCATGACGACAATATTTACTTTCCTAATTCTAGACCGGAAAGAAGACACGCTACAAATTCCCCTATATTTGACGACCCAATCTACAATCAACATTCCAGAACTACCAAAGAAATAAATGCCTCAAGTAAAAGTGCCCCTCAAGACATCCCTCTGAACTTACCCTCGACCAGTACATCTAATTTAAAACGATATGATGATAACCCTACTTATATATCCATTAAGGAGCTAGTCTTAAATTTACCAGAAGAAAAACAACATGAAATTAAAAACTTTATCCTTAACTATATGAACCTAAGTAATTATACGGATCTTGACGACCCTTGTTTTAATTAAATTTTAATATAACCAAATAAAGTTCAATTCAAAATTAAAAATACTTCAGTGGAACCTAAGAAGTATCAATTCAAACAGATCGGAACTAATCTCATCAATCAGGGAACAGGATCCCGATATTATTTTTTTAAATGAAACCTGCTAAATAAAGAAAAAAAATTTTCAGTTAAATCGTGTAATATTATTAGACAAGACAGGGATGATGGATATGGGGGAATAGCAACTTGCATAAAAAACATTTTTTTATACAGAGAAATAAAAAAATTTAACGATAACCAAGTTCAATATATTATAGTTAAAATTGATGAACTTAATCTTATCAACATTTATTCTAACTCTAATAATAATATCAACTCCCAATTTTTAGAGGAGCTTTATTCTAATGTTCAGGGTCCCTCTATATTGATGGGAGACTTAAATTCACATTATCCCCTTTGGGATTATTGTACTCCAAACAATGGAGGCAAACATATTAATGATTTCCTATTTGACAAAGAGCTTGTAATTCTAAATGATGGCTCTTCAACCCTACTTCAACCTCCCAATCAGAAAATGAGTGCGATAGTCGATTGTCAGTAGTGACATAGCTTATTCATCAAACTGGAGAGTCTTGCCGGACTGTGGCAACAGTAACCACTTTCCCACTATGACAGTAATTAAAGATAGAGAATCCTACTCAAAAAATTCTTTTGTACATAATTTTTCATCGGTCAGAAATTATAGAAAAGCAGATTGGGGACTATATAGAGACAAACCTATATTAGACTCTTTACAATACAAAACTGATATGACTTTCGAAGAGATAGAGACCCTTATTAATTCGGCGGCAGACATCGCTATCCCTTTGAAAACAAACAAAAAAGGTAAAACGGGGAATGTTTGGTGGGACGAGGAATGTATTCTTATAGTCAAACAACGTAAAGAAAAGCTAAAACAATTTGAAATTGCTCCTACACTTGAAAACTATATACAAGCAAAAAAATATATTGCAATTGCCAGAAGAAAACGCAATAAATTCATAAAATTCTGTTCGTCATTAAATAGAGATTTTGGAAAAAAATAAAAAAATTTTCGAGCATAAATCAACACTCCAATAGACCTATCCTCGATGACGACCTTCGTAATGAAATCTTAAAAAAAATGGTAATTTATAATGTGATTCCAGGCTTTACTCTAAGTCCTATAGAGGACCTAAACCCGTTTATATTACAAGAATTAGAAAATGTCCTATTTAAGAAAAATATATCTGCTCCTGGGTTAGACAAGGAACTTATAAAATGATTCTTAATCTGCCCTTAAATATAAAATTAGGGCTGCTTAAAATCAATAAGCAATGCCTAGAAGGACAATCTCTCCCGAAATCTTGGAAAAAATATAACTTTTTAAATATTCTAAAACCCAATAAAGACCCATACATGGCGAATAGTTATAGACCGATTGTTCTGTCCTCATGCTATATCAAGCTCTTGGAAATTATGATTAAGAATAGATTAGAGTGGTTATTAGAAAAAAAAATCATTTAACTGGTCCCAGACAGGCTTCAGATGGGAATGGGAATTAGTATCAACACATTGCATTTATATCATCTTTCATCGATCTAGCTTTCAAGCAAAAAGAAACAGTATTAGCAGTATTCTTAGATATAAAATCGGCCTATGACTCTGTTAATATATAAAAGCTATATAACAAATTAAACTCATTACACATTCCACAAGAGCTTAGCAATTTAATCTTTAGAATCCTGGAAAACAGACTCCTTTATACAAAAAGAAATGATGGTTCTTACATTGGTCCAGGCCTTTCCACATCAGGATTACCACAAGGATCACCTTTAAGTACAATTTTATTCAATATATACACTATAGATCTTTTTAATATGTTAGATGAAAGTTTCATATTACTAGGTTATGCGGATGACATGGCTTTACTTTTAAAAGGGAACAATATCATATCTATGGCTTCTAAAATTAATCAGGCTCTTAACACAATCAACATATGGTTACTTAATAACGACCTTCAACTCTCCCCTCAGAAATGCGAATGCGTTTGGTTCACAAAGGGTACTCGTAAAATTCCTCCTCCCCCTGTAAAAATCGAAAATCACCCCCGTATCAGAATAAAATCTATAAAAAAGTCATTCCGCCTTGTTTTGAGTTTGATTATTTTAACCAAATAACCCCTATAAAAACATTAAACTTAAATATAAAAAAATCTGACCCTGACATAAAAGAAAAATTCAATCTTGCCACAGAAAAATTTAAAAACACTTTTCACTTCGTATATACAGATGCATCTAAAATTAGTAATAGTAATGGTCTTGGGGTTTACATTCCTGATATAGATTACAAATTCTCTTCAAAACTACAAAACGAAATAAGTATAACTTCAGCAGAAATAATAGCAATATATGAAGGGGTTACGGTTATTTTGAAAAAAAATCTTAAAAATGGAATAATATTTTCTGACTCTCTCAGTGCAATCACAAAATTAAATACCAACAATATTAAATACGCTTCAGAATTTCTAACTCTTACGACCAAACAACTCATAGTTAATAGTTAGTTAATAATAATGATAATAACATTATTTTAGCTTGGATCCCAGGACACTCAGACATAGTAGGTAACTCAGTTGTTGACTCTTTAGCAAAAATAGGTACAAGCCTAAATATTCCAAAAACCATTGACTTAGATAAAAATGAAATTCTTAATATCATAAAACAAAAAATACTAGATCAACACAACAGACATTGGAAAAATATATTAAAATTTAAGGACAAGACTTATGCTAATATTCAAAATGAATTTCCAAAAAAAAATGGTTTGACGGACAAGAATATATAGACAGAACACATGTCACCATTATTACAAGGATGAGAACAGGACACTGCCTTACTAAACAGCACCTTTATAAAATAGGTATAAACGATAGCCCATTTTGCGAATGTGGAAAGATTGAGGACCTGAACCACATGTTCTTTGAATGCCCTATAAATGAGATACCCGATCTTGATATCTACAATTCTTTTATAAAACTGGGCATCAAAGCCCCTCTTAACATCTCTGCTGTTCTAATTAAACCCAATAAAAAGATTACAGATATCATAATTTCCTTTTTAAACTTTAATAAAATTAAACTGTAACGTAATATATATCAGTAATATTTTCAGAATCCATTATCTCCAACAAATCCATCCTCTATGCCCTCTTCCCCGCATATGTTTGTATTACTAACAGATACCTCCATTACCGAATAATTTATTCTTTATTGAGCAAAGTAAATAAAATAAAACATCTAAGGGTAAAAGTAGATAGGAGTTCCCAGGAGCTCTGCTCGTCAAGCTGACTCCCCTAATGAGCTGGCAGACTGCCTAGTTGCAAAGCCAAAATATTGACAAGAAGAAGAAGAAGAAGATACGTAGCAGTAGCGACTGGAAACATGTATGTATGTAGAGGTTATGGTGTCTTTATTTTTGTTTGGGTGTTGATTTTGCGATTTAGAGTTTTTTGAAGGTATATCTCTTTCAGTCTTTGTGTGCAGTGCTGCTGATGTAACATGTGTTAATAAAGTGGAAACGTCTTTGTACTGTAGTACCTACATCAGAAATTACTGGAAAGAACCTTATGGACATTTTAATTGAAAACGAAATGAGGGAGGATAATTTAGTCAAATGGGTTTGGAATTAGCAGGAAATCAAGGTGTCCAATACCAAAGTATTGGAAGACATTTGTAAACTTATCGAAAGAGGTCTATTTTAGAATTTATCACATTCAGCATGTTTCGGAGCAGCGAGACATTTGATATGTTTAGAAGAGCAGCTACCACACCTGGAAGTAGATATTGCAGATGAGGTTGGAAATGAGGAAAGGAACCAAATAGCAAATATGCTCTTATAACAAATAAAAATATGTTTTTGAATTATTGCTTTTTTTTGGAATACACATAATAAGTGCAACATTTTATTTCTTTTCTTCTGGATTTCCTTACTTCTTCCAATGGCATTTTGTAAGAGGTTAATTTCTTGTACTCGACCTTCCTCTATATTTGTCAGCCTTCTTCGTAGATAAAACATTAAACTCTTTGACTTCCTAGCCTTGGTACTTCTAAAATGAAAACAAATTATAAGCTTTTAATTAATATTATTTATTTATTATATCAATAAAAAAAATGTTGATAGCTACTAAAAATGACGTCCACTCCAAAACATGTTGGATTTGCAGTGCATGATGCATCGGACGTTTCCGCTATGTAAATACAAATGTCCAACACGCTCCCAATCGCCATCGGTACCGCTACGTATCGGGAGCGCTTTGCTACGTCCGCTGAATGCGACCTTTCTTGTTGTAGTGTTGTAGATGTAATATCTGCAACCATTCCTACACACACATACTTATTGAGGTAAACATTTTAAAAACATGTTTCCGATTTCTATTGCCGTTTTCTTTGTTTTTAAAACAAGCCCAGTTTAGTTTCGGTTAGGGTGAAAGACTGCACGGTAGTGTTGGATGCTAGTTGCGGTTAGTTAGCTCTGTTTAAAAACATTGTTATTAATAAAATGTTCTTGCAAATTTCCAGGGTGTTCTAATAAATATTTTTCTCTAATAAACAACGAATCTCATACTTTTTATGTTTGAAGAGACCATTATTCTCCCAAAGATATCTATATTCATTCTAGTCGATTTGGATTGTTTAATGTTATAATTCTTGGCTAGTTGTAAATATTCCAAGTGACGGTGGTGCTTTCGATAAAAAAATGTACGGTTAAAAACCCTCCCTCGTTTTTATTTTTTTGTTTCGTCCATCCGAGTTGGGAGAAATTACAAAACCGGCAAAATTTAAGTTTAATAGGAATCTTGAAACATATAATAGCACGCCACTGGAGATTATTAACAAATCAAAGCCAATTGATAGCACGTTCAAACACGAGACATATTTAATTAACCAAATTGCGACCCAGCTGTTAAATTAGGTACTAAGCTGTGCTGTAGGTAAATATTATTACATAAACGTTATTACTGCAGCCCTTTTCGTTAGTTACAATCAATACGTTCTAAACCATGAAACTAAGCCTTCTTATCCTCACTTATTGGCTAATCGCTCGCGCCGCCAAATGTCAAGGCGTAAGTACGCTAACACGGCGCGACAATTGTAAATATGACAAATATTATAGGTATCATGGTATAATGTAGCGGTGGTAGAATTTGAGCTTGAGACCAATCTTTCGGTTTCTGCAGACGAGAGACTTGCGGCAACCATTTCAAGATTCATAAAGACATTGAACGGATTAACAGAGGTACCACCTTTTTGTGCAATTGGAATTGGTAGCTTGATATATAGAGCAGTGAACTTGTATTGATAATAAAATGTCTGCCGTCTTATGTATCTGATTTCTAACGGGAACGCAAGTATCTTTTTAGCCGTTGGACCTCGTAATATTTCCGGAATCGGCGTTGGCAAGTGACGACCCCGATGCTGCTACAGAATTGCCGTCGCTCTACGACTTCCTGCTTTGCAATTCCAACGACGTGGGCTACGCTGAATTTCTCAAAAATTTGTCGTGTCTGGCGATCGATCGTCAAACCGTCATTGTGGTTAATATATTGGAAAAAAGCGGGGATTCGTTTTACAACACCGACATTGCTCTCGCAGCGAACGGTACCGTGATTGCCAGGTGTGATGATTAAAACAAAGCAATTCTCAAAACTTCCACTACATTATTACATAGGTACAGGAAATGGAACCTGTTCGGCGAGATCGCGAAAAGCAAACCGAGCACCCTCGATTTGCCTGTTTTGGAACTGAAAAATACGACATTCGGCTTCATGACGTGTTTTGACATATTGTTCGGAGTGCCCGGTTTCAATTTGACCAGGGAACGTAGCGTGAAGAACATCATTTTTCCGCTCAACTGGATTTCGGAATTGCCGTATTTGACAGGTTTGATATGGGGCGGGCGGCATTGGTTAGTCGCCCGACGCGTGTGTTTTGAATATAATGTCAACTTAATCGATTTAGACTGCGTTGTGGTTTTGCTATTTTCATTCTTATCCTATTTCGAGTTAGTAATAATGGTTATGGTTAACTCAACCATTTTTTCCAAATATCCACATTTATAGTATACATAATTGAACAGCAATATTGGTAGTTCCTTGGTAGTCATTCGAACAGAAAGTAGTAATTGTGGTAATATTAAAATATAAATCCAGTTTCAAATTTGTGTGTGGACATTTTTGTTGCAATCGAAAATGTTGAAATTTCTACACTTACATTACAAGAGAAATAATGGCAAAAAGATATATAAGCCATCGTAGTAATTACATATTTTAAAATGCCGAATGAAAAAGGGACAAACTTCCTCATAATTTACAAGTTTGACGTGAAAAACCAGGTAGTTTGGTTATTATTGACTGTATTTCGCAGTTTCTGGTAACTTTATTTTCTTTAGTCATTTTAATATTGATGCGAAAGTAAGACACTTTTAAACCTATTTAACCAGAGACACCCAAAATACTATGGTTTTTGTTGTTGTTAATTAATTCTAACAGGTAACTCTAGTCCAAAATTCCTATAGGATGCCTTCATAAATAAAGGGCTGGTAAGCTCCATCATCCTCTAGGTATATTAACATAACATTATTTCCCAAAATTCCCAAACAAATATACAGCACTAAAGAAATATAACGACACAATTTTCAACCGATTTATACATTTTATGGAACCGGACCAGACTAAGGTTAGGAATACAAACGTTGTTGTTGTTGATAATTACATCTAATGGGCACGACTACATAAGGTTATGCCTTCATAAGGAAAGGGTCTGGACTATTCTATCATCCTCCAGGTTTGTTAATATATTAATACATATGAATAAACTTCTAAATAATTACTCATAAAATGACGACCGATTCATCTAGCGGCTCCAGCAATTATCTCATCCGGAATATCTGATCCTATCTGCCCTGGTTACCAGCGTGAATGTAATATTACGGAAACCGAGCAATACACCATACAAATCCATAGACAGACATTCATACAAAACAATCACTAAATCACAAAACTATAAGCACGCGCCTCTAACAATTCAATTAAAAGATGTAAAAAAAATTTTCAAACGCCGTAATTTTTTTCAACCGATTTCTAACTTTTTTGGAACGGGGTGTAACAAACGTCCGCCATGTGCAATGGTTCTTTAAAAAAAAACTAATGCAAACTAGTCTTCCTTTTCTACTTGATATAGGTTAAAATTTCAATGGGACGTACTCTCCAAAGGGCAACAAATAACCAAAACTAAAACAAATATTCATTTAATTGTTCTTATTATCACCGCTGTCATAAAGTAGAACCAAATCTGTCTGCATTATTTATACATTCTGGATTCCTGCTGCGTCGGTTGATGCTAAATCGAATTTGCTGATGCTTGGTCAATGATCCTGTTGACTGAAACAGTTTCAGTTAAGCTCTTAAAAAGCCAACACAATGATTACCGAAATAGTATTACAGTATATTACAGAAATATTATTACAGTATAAGCTTGTTTTAAAAATTAGCAACTTGTCTGAATGTTTATATTACGGTTCTATCGTTCTGGTTAAGTTATTTATCAAAGTCCTTTTTCGTAATATTGTGGACCCATGGGAACCCACTTTGGTATTTTTCGGAAGTGAACGGAACCTCGAACCAGCGAAGATAGTCTGGCTTTATAAAAGCACTGGTAAGGTCGGATTTTAAATAACTCGCATAGTTTATTTTTGGTATGCTATATTGTAGTTGATCTAGCGAGTGCCGGATCGTTGAATTTCCTTTAATAATCAATCATATGATTAGATTATTCGTTTGCTTTAAGCACTGTATGTGCAGTCTTTTATGTCCCCTCGCTCTCTATCAGAACCCATCCGACCGGGTTTCTATTTCTATTTTATTCTTTTTATTATTTCTTACGATCTCCGACATATAGTACCTAAGCAAAACAGCCGACACCATCGGAACGCGGTCAAACAATGACCCCATTTTGTATTTCAGCCCTGCAAACGCAGCAAATGTGGGCCAGTGAGCATGACGTCACTCTGCTAGCGGCCGGTTCGAATTCCCCTGGTCGGGGCGCTGGAGGAACCGGCATATATTTAGGTAAAGCGTCTTGGCAGTTTACGTGTTTAGTAGATGGGGAAATTTTAACTGTGGTCGCCGTATGACATGTAGTTGCACACATTGTTGCCAAATTGCTATATTTATTCGATTTAACCACGAATAAAAAAAATGCCATGCTATAAAAATATACACCCTTGAACTTAACGCATCAACCAACCAATGTTGCTTGAGCTATTATTAAGTCAAAAAATTAATTTATGTGATAAAAGAAGGGGCGAGTTTTTTAGTGGTAGCGTCTTATCTGATTTTGCAACAACGTAACAGCCAAAAGAATATTTGTTTTGGCGCTTCAAAACTATCGCGAAACCCATTACTGAAGCATAAAAAGTATGACAGATTATCAGCAGAAATTCTCCTGTGACAGATAAACTAAATCAAATTGTATTGAGTTTTGTGTGGTGGCAAAATATTATGAGTTCGATTGGGCCTAATTTGGCCTCGTTTGGTATAAGGTATTGGAGATAATCTCACAGTCGGATGGAAATGGCCTCGCAGCGTAAACCAAAGTGCATCGGAATATTGAGATACAAAAAAATAATTATATAGTACAAAAAATCATTAGGATATCATTCTTTTAAAAAAGTTTTAGAGGATTCTATGTCAAATGGTAATGCGCAAAATTCAACACTATGTAAAATAGGGGTTGACTTTTTAATGTTTTTCTGGAATGGTATTGTGTTTGTATTTGATAAAAGTAACCAAATAATTAAAAAAAAAAGATTTGCATCAAGTAGTAATAACGTATAAAAGTAAAATTTATTAAATAACCCAGCGAAAAGATAAATTTGATTATTATTATGAAAGGAGTAAAAATGCGTCAGAGTTTAGTACATTTCTAAAAGATCTAGAATATTTCAAATTAAACAAATTTAAGTATCTATGAAGGTGGTACTTCTGACACAAAATTTGATGGGTTAAATAATTTTCAAGTAAATACCTATTGTGTTAATAAGAAATGAACAAAGGTTATAAAAGTATAATGTTGGTTAGACGATTTACAACAATTGCACATTTTAATAAAACTGTATAAAAAATAGTTTAACGATGAACTAGCCTTATTTTTAAATCATACGCATGTTTCTCACAATTCCTCTGAGAACGTTTCAAGCTTACCAGATAAACTTTTTGCCTAACAATAACTTAATTTCCTTTCTACTTCCGCACGGGTTTGGAAGCAATCGGATGTTTTCTGAGATTTTACCGCACGGTTTGAATTTTGACGTTTGTCAATTCTGACAGCCATGTCAGTGAATGTATTTGTGTTGTTTTGCAAAAATGTACCCAAAAACTAACGGTCGCAGAAAAAGTATAGTCTGCAACATGTTCAGTAAACTTTTTAAGTCACTCGTTTATTAAACACTCGCTCCGCTCGTGCCAAATAAACTCGTGACTTCACAGCCGTTTAATTCATTCACCATTTTGCAATACTATCAATTGAAAAAGATTTATTAAAATTAATAATACAAATCTATGACTGACAAGTTTTTAAATTAAAAATAAAGAAAATGACATTCTTGATAAAAAATAATTATTTCTTTTATTTTTGTTTTATTAACTTTTGATATACTTACATATTTCGATATTGAATAAAAGATTTACACTTACTCAGTTCAATTTACTAAATGGATATATGCAAATATTACATTTTTTTTAAAACAAAATATCCTGTAACATTTTTATTAAACTCGTTTGCTTGTTTGTTAACAATAAAAAACTGTTATGGGAACCTCGACTTTTAACTTATACTAAATCTAAATTGTATTTTAAATATAATTTGAAACTAACCTAGATCTTGAAGGGCCACCATCTTGACCTGATCACTGGGTTCACTGCAGTACAACTTATTTTTAAAATGCCGAGATTTTGTAAAAATATTTCAGATACATTTTGCTATGTATGTGGTTCTTTTGTGGTCAATAAATTTAGACCTAAAATTACACCCCTGTTTAAAATATAATACTACGCTTATTTCAATTAAAAATTGGTGATCAAGACAAACCTCGGGCGCCACACATTGTTTGTAAGGTATGTGAAAAATTTTTAAGACATGCCTACCTTTTGGTATGACTACCTATGGTATAGAGAGAGGCAACAAATCATCAAGTCTGCATTTAGGCCAGTGCCAGACGGACCAGATGTCCTAATATCTGAAAATCCAGTCAATTTAAAAGATACCACCAGTTTTTCTGAACCTGAAATACGTTAGTGATGTTGTTGATATATGGAGTGTTTCCCAGCAACCACAGTCATTTTCACAATCAGAACTTACGGACAGTGAGAGACTTAGGTTTACTTAGGATCTTTCCGAAATGTTAGTATCTAAACTTCGAAATAAAAATAAAGATGTTAAAATCTCATATGTCAGGAAGCTCGAGACAGAATTTATGGGCTGTTTTGAACAAAATGGTTCACTTGCATATCGCACCGATATTCCTAATCTAATAAAGAAACTTGGTACAGACTACAATTCTGAGGACTGGAGGCTTTTTATTGACATATCCTAAAGAAGCCTTAAAGGTGTTCTTTTGCCCAACGGAAATGTTCTTGCTTCTGTACCTGTGCAAATGAAAGAATGCTACGAAAATCTGGAACTACTGTTTAATAAAATCAAATACAAGGACTATAGTAAAATGATTTGATTTTGAGTGACTTAAAAGTTGTAGAACTTCGACTATGTCAACGAAGGGTATACGAAGTATCCCTGGTTTTTGTGTGAGTCGGACAGTAAAAACAACAACATTGGGTGAAAAAACTATCCAAAACTATCCAAAAACTCATTCCGTGCAAATGAAAGAATGCTACGAAAATTTGAAACTTCTGCTTGAGAACTTAAAAAATGTGGGTAGTCTACTAGGTCAGCAGCCAGGATATACAAAGTATCCCTGTTTCTTGTGTGAGTGGGACAGTAAAAAAGAAGTAGGCGGAAAATGTTAATTTTACTCCCCATCCGATCCAACAAATTCTTTTATCACCGTTGCATATTAAATTAGGACTGATGAAGCAGTACGTTAAAGATTTAAATAAATATGGAACATGAAAATTTCTCGCTCTGTCAGATACAAAATTGAATTAAGAAATTTTTGTTAGTCCTCTAATGGAAGATCAAGAATTTGTGAATACCGTGATCGAATCTGAAAAGGTTGCACTGGTTTTTCATTTAGCGATTTTATAAATGGTTTTCTAGGAAGCAACAAATATCCAAGTTACAAGACATTGTAGGAAATATGTTAGAGAATGAGATTAAATGATGATTATATCTGCTTCCAGGACAAGATGTATGACCACTTCAAAATTGGTGATAAACTTGTAATCTTGTAATCTTTGGTTATGGTGATGTGGGAACAGAAGGACGTGAACAAACTAACAAAGTAACTAGGATAGCAGCATTCTTAAATAAGACTATTTGGGAAAAAAATATATCAGAATGGAAACGAAGGCTAAAATATACAAAATAAGGATTAAAACAATCATGATGTACACAGCAGAAAAACAACCTAACACAACAAAAACTAAGCAGATGATGGAGACAACGGATATGAAGGTAATGCTGAAAATTGGTGGAAAAACCTTATGGAACAGAGAGCGAAGCGAGAACATCAGCGGAATGCGAAGAGTGGATAACATAAATGACTGGATATTAAAACGAAAAATGGAATGGAACGACCAGATCAATCGCATGGCTGACTCGAGCATAGTTAAAATAGCTTGTGATAAATCCCATAGGCCCTAGTAGTATAGGGCACCCTCAAAAAAGATGGAGCGACATTTTGAGATCCGATGGGGAGTAGGGGATGAGAAAAAGCAAGCAGTTGCCTACGCTAAAGAAGAAAGAAGATGAAAGAGAGAAATTTATGCAATATGAGTAGAAATCTACACTTTTTGCACTCACATCTAGACTACTTTCCGTGATGCCGCGAGTGAGGGGCAAGGTGAGAGGTTCCACCAAGAAATAAAAGAAATGGAACGCAGATATCAAGGATAGAACGTTGCAGTGACGGCAGAGGGAAAGGGAAATGTTCCAGATATAAAATGATTTTACTATTGTTTGACACTTTGTTATTCAATTTCGATTTTTGATTTGTTTTTTGTTCTTGTACTAATAAAAAATAAAGTTTAAATCAACCGAGATTTTCATTTATTAATTCCTTTAATGTTTATAAAAAACAATTCAATCAAATGCCAGATCGAAATCAATTTTCAAAAGTTTAAAAATTGTTCTGTAATTAACGGAAAGGAGAAACACGATCTAAGCAATTGAATATTTGGCAACAAGGGACGAAAAGTGGTATAAAGATCTAACCATTTTGGTATCCGTGACCTATCTGCTAAATACATAAACTACGGGATTACCAGGTAAAGTCGTTTGAGGTTATAGGTAAAAAAGGCGCGTTAGAAACAATAATAGCCGCCGGAGGCGGGACCAGGACGATATATCGAAACGTGCCGATAATATCGGGAACTGGGACGAACGTGATACTCGTCAATCACACCGAAACCGACGAAATAGACTCGCTCGCTGTAGAAATGGACGATTTCTTCACGCTGGTTGACGCGGCCATCGCAGGTGTCGAAACGTCGCCAGAGTTTATTCGGTTCGATTGACTTCCAAACTTTTAGAACACGCCTCGGTCGTACTCGATACGACGAATTTGAGTGGGTGCATAACGGTGTGTCACGGCCGAAACGATGACGTCACGTGTTGCGACTTCGACGTATCCGCCTTGCAGGACCAAATTGTCGCCTCTCGAAACGGCGACAGATATACATATCACCTGGTCGCCTACAACGGCGTCAGAAGTTTCTCAGGGGTGTTTTTCGGCGGGGTGGAGATTTGCGCGGTGGTGGCGTGCTTAAACGAGTCCGTTGCTTCTTGCGGAAGAAGGTATAAAGAAGCGGAAGAGGTTGATTTTAACGCATCTAGAGCGGAAACGTAATTTTCGCTTGATGATAAAAAGAACTATCTAAGTCCGTTAGTTTTGATGCCGCTCCAAATTTGGAATGTTTTTTTTTTTTGATAAACAGTCTAATTTCAATTACGAATGAGATCCAATATACAGGGTGTTCCATACATAATAAGTAATAAGTACATGGCAAAAGGGGATTCTTTAGGTAAAAATATTACGTTAACGAAACTTACCTTAGTCCAAAAGTGGATGTTAACCGAGATGGAGGGCGTCAAAGCTTCAATTTCATTTTTGATTTTTTTAAATAATTCTTGAAATAATCGGGTTTTTCGCACAAAATTTGGCACATCGGGGTTTTTTGACATAAGAAATCGATTTTCGTGAATAATTTTGAGTCAAATAGATGGTGCTACGTATGGTACTTTTCGTGCATTTGATACTTCCTAACTTTTTTGCGCCTTAGTGTATGCAGATTTGGTTAATTGCTTAACAGATTTTTCATAAACGTATCACTTCCTACACCTTTTTTACACACAAAAGTATATTTTTTAAATTTCGTCCCAAGTTACCTTTTTCGAGAAATTTTCATTTGAAATTTGCGTTGCACCTAATTAAACAGTTTCATGTGAAGATGGAAAATAGTTGAAAGTAGGCTTCGACTAACATAATCACCATAAAAAACAACAAAATGGTGCGTGTGATTTTCTAGCCCGATAGGAATATGTTCGTTTTTGTCGAGTCCCGCAAAACGCCGAGCCAATGTTTTTAAGTAAAATAATGTTTACAGATGAAGCAACATTTACATGGAAAGGTGTCTTTAAATATAAGCATGCATGGGATCTAGAAAATCTCATTTAACAACTGGACGCCATTTCAAACGGGAATTTGAAATAAACGTTTCGTTCAGAATAATTGATAATTCTATCTTAGGACCTATCGAACTGTCTGGATGGTTTATCCTTAGAATTAAGAAGAACAATGGCAAGATGCAAGATGCATGCAAGATGGCGCTTCGGCGCACTTTTTGAGACGTGTTAGAGATTTTCAGTCAATTTTCTTATCGTTGGATTGGTCGCATAGGAGCCCGGATTTCAATCTAATTGGTTTTTGTTTTTGGAGGTATATGAAGTGGCTATGTATAAAGAAGTACTTCATACTCGAGATAAATTATGGCAGTGGATTAAAAATACCACTTAATCATTTCGAAAAGAAGGAATTATTATTTAAAATCAGGCAGTCTTTCGATTAACGTGTAGTGAATAGAAATAATTTTGATTATTTATTTCCGAATTTTGTATTTTATTTTACTTTAAAATTAGATTTGTATTTCCATAAAATTGTGTTCATTGGCGTCGAAGTTGTTTTGAGTCGCTTGTTGTAAAAATCTCAAAATAAATAAAATTAAAAACGTTGTTAAGGCTATATCATATTGGCTCAATTATATTATCTAGGTTATTTTAAAATTGATGGCATTAAAAAAATGAGATTTTAAATAATACCTTATGAAGTATTGAAATTTTCAAATCCAAATTTCTCGAAAACGGCGACTGGGGGCGAAATTTTTTTGTGTAAAAAAGAAAAGAAAAGAAAATAATCTTTATAATGAATCTGCATACACGCAAAGGGCAAAAAAGTTAGGATGCATCGAATGCACGAAAGGAACCATACGTAGCACCCTTTACAATTAGCAACTATTGGCGTAAATGGCTTTCTCATGTCAAAAAACCAAGACCGTAATTAAAATTACAATAATAATATACACTGGCAATCGGGAGGCACCCATCGAATATTTTTGACGACAAAAAAATGTACCCTATTGACTTTTGTACCAATTTTGTTCTTTTTCAAATCAAATCACTAAAAATTCAACTTCTTTGTCTCTGGAATTATCTTCATATTTGCAGTACCCCGGTATACCGTATTCTATATAGTGTGTCCAACAATGTAACACATTTCACATACTTTTGTTTTGTTAAAAGGAAAATTGCATTTTTCCTATTTTTGAAAGGTATTGTTAAGTAGGCAAACAATGCATTTGTTAAAGTAACAAAAACAATCAATGTTTTTATGGCACAAACTATAGCACGGTGTCAAACTTTTGTTCATGGCTATATTCCGGCATATTCGGCGATAATTACACAACAACAATAAATAAAAATAACCACAGTAATAGTAACAATAACGACAATTACTCTAAAAACTACTCTGCAAAGAGGGTAACATCAACGACAATTACTATTTAGTCATGATATTAAATAATATATGTCAGACAGTTATCTAAAGTTGTATCTCTAATCGGTAATGAGATTCCCATGCTTAGGAACCTTATCTTGGACGGCCTACTAAAAATTCTCATAATATACGCACCCAAACGACACATTCCAAAGGTTTAAATGGCTTAAGAATTATCGAACGCTCGTTCCAGATTTCCAGATTATTCCAATATCGTTTGGCCTATCACGTTCGAGAAAATCAACGTCTCGGGTAACTTCAGCCAATCGGAGCGGCGAGTTCAGTACCCCACCTCCCTGTTGAGTTCCATACGGCCGATAGAGACGCGCCACACATCTTGGCACAGAGAAGAAGTGAACGGCACCACGGTGCTCAGAACCCACACATTGGAAAAGGCTCAGAACCGTCTGCTCACTTTCGGTATATACGGGAGGGATTTCACAAGGGATCGGGACCCGATGAGGAACGAATCGGCAAACGGGAGTATTTCCGGGCAAGGGGGTCCAAACCCAGACCTGAGCGCACTGCTCGTGTTATTTATCATCGCGTTTATTTACGTGTAACGGCCGATTTACGTTTCTCAATAATGACGTATCTGAAAATAAAGTCATGCTGTTATTTTTTTTCTTTTTTTAATAGTTTATTTTTCGGTAGCTACTATATACAGAGTGTTGAAGTAAATCCCATCCCATCTTGTCTTTTTAAAGAAAATAAAGGTCACTATTTAGTTGCCACTTTTAGTGCTCTATAAGATAGCGTTGACCAGGGGTGAAGCATCTATGTAACCACTGTTGCCATTGGTAATGAGAATAAATTAATATTTTATGACTTTACCAATACCAATACGTAATGGTAACTAACTCTATAGTAATACACTCTACTACTCTAGGGAGTAAATTCTGTACTGTATTGACGCTACCCCGCCTCGACTCGATATATAGGGTGTCCTATGAGTAATAAAACATGGAAAAATAAGATATTTTTAAGGTAAACATATGGATAGATGACTACTTTACCATATCATTGTTTGTAGCAAGTCATACAAAGGAAAAAAAATAAATAAAATTGATGCCAACAAAATTGTATATAACGTCATAATATACTAAATCTAGATATACAATGTACATAACTTCACAATAAAAACAATAGGACAACAAATAATAAATAAATTTATATGTATATAGCACAGAACAATCATTAAATTCAACGCTCCGCAACACGTCATTACCAATGTTTTATTCAAATAATTCACCAACGCTATAATAGTCCTTACTTAGAAGAAAACTTTTAATTTTATATTTAAAATATTTTTCGTTTAAAAGTTTAAAAGATTGTAGCAATGCGTTATAAAGTTTTATATAAGGAGAGTTTTGTTTTGATTTCTGCAACCTGTATCTCGGAAGCACGAGATTATTTGCACTCCGGGTGTCGTATCTATGAGAATCAGAACCCCCTCGGCAAACTGTCAGTCTTGGAGTGTATCTCAAGAACATAAAACCGTCATTATTTTATGTTTAATAAACAATGGCTTACAGTGTTCGTAAAAATCTGAATTTGTAATTATCGGTAACCTTTTTTTGCATCCTAAATATTTTAATGGCATAATAGGAGTTACCCCACAATATGGTGGCATAGTTTATACGGAAGTGAAATAAACCAAAGTAACTTGACTTTAATACAGCAAAACTCACCATTCTGTGAAGTTGACGCAAAAGAAAATGAATATTTGCTGGCCAATGTATTCTGACCAATTCAGAGTGTCATCCAAGGTACTGCTACTAGCCACTAATAAATTCTTCGTTTTAGCTTCATTAGGTTGTAGATTATTTGATTAAAACAATGCTTTGGCCTTTGATAAAGTTTATGTTTCAATATTACTCAGGGTAGTGATGTTCCTGTTTGAATTAATAAACGTTGAGTCTTCAGCAAACAGCACAATCTCAGTATCAGGCATCATGTACTGCCAAATATCATTTATGTATATAATTATATATAATAAATAATAAATAATATAATAACTATTTAACGAAACTCACCCTAGTCCACAAATCGAATTACAGGACATCAAAGTTGCAATTTCATTTTTGATTTTTTTAAATAATTCTTGAAATAATCGAGCTTTTTGCACAAAATTGGGTAAATCGGATATTTTTGACATGAGAAATCAATTTTCTTGAACAATTTTGTAGCAAATTATAGAGGGCGCTACGTATGGTACTTTTCGTGAATTTAATACTTCCTAACTTTTTGCGCTTTAGTGCATGCAGATTTTTTTTACACAAAAACCTTTTAAATTTCGCACCGGGTCGCCGTTTTCGAGAAATTTGGCTTTCAAATTCAAGTATATCATTACGTAATATTTAAAATATCATTTTTTTATGCCATCAATTTTAAAATAACCTAGATAATACATATAACGGAGCTAAAATGCTAGTATAGACATTAACTGCGTTGTTAATATTATTTATTGTGAGATTTTTACCCCAAGAGGCTAACCAAAATTGCGACGTCAATGAAAATAATTTTATAGAAATACAAATTTAATTTTTAACTACAGTAAAATACAAAATATGTTTATAAAAATGGGATTGCTATTCGGAAATAAATATTTAAAATATTTTTCATTCACTCTGATGCATTTCGAGACACGTTTATTAAAAGCGTGTCCGATTTTAAACTGTAATTCCTCGTTCCTCGATTCAGCGGCATTTTCAATCCTGTGCCTTAACTCATCTCGACTCTGAACTATTTTTTCATACACTAGCGACTTTGTTTGATTCCCACGACCAATCCAACGGTAAGGAAATTGATTATTTAGGAAGTCTCTTTTAACATGTCATTCGTATTGAGCTTATTTCCTAATTTTTTGCTACTTGGACTAAAATTTCCTCTTCCAGGTTCGTTGTAATCATTTTTGGTCGTCCCACAGAATCCCTCTCTGGGCGGAACGAACCATTTTTGCCGAATCTGTTATAAATGATCTTAAAAAAATTAAAATCGAGCGTTTTCGGTTTGGAAATATCCTGTAATAACGTCTATGAGCTCGAAACCTATTATAATTATCCTTTGGATATTAATATACCATGTCAAGTTGGAAAACAAGTTATGTCTTTGCATTATCGGAAAACTCACCAAAACTTTAAAAAAAAACTCAAAATACTGACAAACAACAAAATTCACCAGAACCTAAATGCCTTTATCGCATTTGTTTTAACCAACCATTTGTTTTTATATTCATTATGTTAGTCAAAGCCTCCTTTCAACTATTTTTTAGGTTTACATGAAACTTTTCAATTAGATGCAACGAAAATTTCAAATGGGAATTTCTCGAAAAACAATGGATATATTGTTTTCACATTTTGTTATTTGTATTTTTTAATTCATTACTTCGATACACGCTTCAACAACAAGATCTTTAAACAATTGTACAGTATAATAATAACAATAATAATAGCAAAACTAAAAATAATGATAATAGTAATAATAATAAAAAATAATAATAATAATAACAAGCTTTTGCACAGCAAACTTGGATTTGTATGGCAAACTTATATTTACACTACACTAAATAATATTTTGGGCTTTAAGAAACGTAGAATTTCTAATTAAATAGAGAGAAGGGAAACATTTTTTTCACAAATTTTAGGAGTTTTATTGGTAACAACGTGTATACTTCAAAAAATACTGCGTTTAGGTATATGGAATGCTTAACAAAATTGAAAGAGCATGAATAGGAGTAATTAGTGAAGGGTGTTCTACTTGATTTTTTTCACGAAAATTAATACTTTTCATTGTGACTCACCCTGTATAAACCATTCGAACTAACTTTAAGACAAGTATAGGATAAATGAGTGTACCCCTGTATAAAACTGTTGGTCTAATAAAATTACAGCTGTCGGAATCGGCGTGAAAAATATAGGGTAGTAAACGAAAGTAGAGTAGTGACGAAAAAATAGCCATAAATCCGAAAACAGTATAAACCATAACAACTCTACATTGAGTGATTGGTTATAAAATAGAATAACAATTAATTGCATAATATACAGGGTTTCGCACATATTTATGAATCACCCTATATAATTGGACGCCCTGTAGAAACATTAAGTGCTTTTTCGGGAGTTTCCAGTGACATACGAGACGATATTATTTAAGCCATATCCGACATTGATGATTGATAAAATGAAATCGGAAATAGCCGAAGCAAGTTTTGTAGCTGTTATATTGGATGAAAGCACTGATGTTTCGAACCAATCGCAACTTTCCGACATGTTTAGTTATTTTTGTCCCGATATGTGATGTTTGTGAAATATTTTTGAAATTTGTCAATTTTGTTCAGTGTGTTATGTCAGTTTGAATGCGGAAATAAGTTCCTTGACTTGCGATGGGGCGGAAGTAATGAGCGGGCACAACGGCCCACCAAAACTGGTTTTTATTTATCGTTATGCCCTTAGACTAAATTTGGTTTTTCTGTAATCAGTGAAAGTGTAAAAATATTATCAGGACTTTCAAAATCCTCCGAAACAGCTGTTGTTTTGCATAAATTAGTACAAAAACGTTTACCCAAAGAAGCAATAACCTCGCTGAGGTGGTTTCTTTTAATCGCCTAAAGCCTCTCGAGCTATTTAAAGAGGTGCGCATACTCAGAAAAATAAGGGGTTTTAAAATGCACAAGAAATCCCCTTGAAACTTTTTTCTACAGTGTAATTAATCATAAAATAGTATTTTATGGTCGTTTTACTTTAGTCACTTCAAAACATCAACGATCCTAAAAAAACATGTACCCGAAACTAAAAAATAGAACTCTCTGCATTAAAGACAGCGTTAACAGAAAAATGGATTCTCCTTACAATTTATCATGATGGTCTCTTTCTTTTAATTCTATAGCATGTTTAAGTTGTTCTTTTGATTTTGTTATATGTGTCGTTATAATTTAAATGGTTGTCTTTTTAATTTAAATTAAATTGTTTTAATAAGAGTGAGTAATATACATTATCATGTAGAAATTGTTCTTTTTATTTTATTATTTCTTAAAAACCACAAATGAAGCAAAATCATATTTAATTTTGATCAAGTCGTTAGCGCTTTTTTTATTTACGCTTTTTCTGCGAGTGTACACTTTGCACGAATTTGATTTTAATATTTTTTAAAACTTATTCGAAATTATTCTACCAAAATCAGAAATCTTGTGTTATATTTTGCAGAAAAAAAATTGTGAAATCTGATTTTGCACGAGATTTAATGCATTTATAGATTTTGGGCAATTAGAGCCGAATAATTTTAAAAGTCTGTGGTCAGAAGGAGACAACTTTGTAAATTACGATGAACCCAAACCCAACAAGAGACAACGAATTACAAACATAAACAATATAAAGATACGTGTTTGTTGCACACCATCATTATTCAACTTAATAAACAATAACAAATAACAGATTTTGCGAGTTAAAATATCTAGAATGTCTATTTGATTTTGACAATTTCAAAAATTAAGCAAAAAAAATCCAAATAGCGTGCTTCATTAACTTGTGAAGCTTTATGGACAAAAGTTGGACACAATAAAGTTACAAACAGAATTTTTTTAGTACTTTATAGTGATCCAGATTATGTTAAAATATATTTGCAAGGATTTTATTAATATTTAAAATCTTAAGCTTTTTAATTTGCAAAATTAGGTTTAACAGTTTTTGCTACAAGTGCATTCTTTGAAGGAAGGTTTTCTACAATAAAGCAGATTAAAACGTGCCATAGAAATAGTCAATGCTAGATCGAATCGATTCTTTAATTTTTATTGAGAGGTACTTTCTAAATGATTTAATGAAAAAATCCACTTTCTACGATTGTGTTATTAATGTTGTTACAAATAAACAAAATTGTGGAATTGACTTGAAATTTGTTTATTTTTTATATTTGCATACTTACCCACAGGGGTTAACGGAAGTCACAGAAAAAAACTTTTATTACAAAAGTTGTATAATTTTTCAGTGTTATCTTTTAGACTTGCAGAAGAACACAAATACGTATCGTAAAGTCGAGAAAAAGTTGCAAGTTTTTTTCTTCTGATTTCAGAAATTTATAGATTGCTGATATTTGGGTAAGCCATTCTTGAATTATTTAAGTTTAAATTTTCGATTAACTAAACAGCTGTTAATCAAGTTGGACAGGGAAATTGAAATCTTCAGTTAGGAAAATGGGTTACTCAGAGTAAGAAAAGCTTCAAGTAGTTCGTTTTTTTTTATTCCAATAAGTATTAATTAACCCATAATACTAAAGATTTCCCAAACATTTACTAATATTATCCATCATTTTATGATGAATCACATTCCAAATAATATTTGGATATGATCTGTATTGAGCAT